ATTGTTGTTTGGCGGTCCGGGCTGGGGATTCGAACCCGCCACCTTAGGTGTACGTGGCTGGCGCCTTAGCCGGTTGAGCTATAGGCGCCGAGCCTCATGTGACTCTTATGAATAGGAAGAATATTAATGTTCATACCTCCACAGGATAAATTTAGAGAATAGCTTTTTAGCCAAGAGGCATTGACTAAGTGCAATGTCCTATAGTGACTAGGACATATATTCTAGAGTTACAGTGCCAACCATCAAATTCTAGCTCTTTTTTTTTCTAGTTTTGTGTGAGATGTTGGATAATACTTAGCCTCTTGGTGCCACAGTTGTCTTCATCCATAAGACTGTGTTAATAGTAGTTCTAGCTCATAGATTTTTATGAGGATTAAATTATTTAAAATACAAAGTAACCACCCAGTAAGTGTTAGCTATCATTAATTGTTGCTGCTACCTTTACTATTGCATCTGTTACTACTTCTGTTACTGTTACTACTTCTGTAGTAATTCGTTTTCTCATCAACAACATATATTCAAAGCAAACTATGTGTCAGACACAGTACTGTGGATCTGGTAATGAATAATAGAGACAGCTTCTGTCTTTGCATAACTTACAGACTGGTGGGAATCCAAATATTGAACAATGCAAAAGAGGTATTTGCATAGAATGGGCTTAACATGCTTGCCAGCTGGTGAAGGGTTAAAGAGAGCTGTTCATGAAAAATTGATGTCTACGTTGAAATAAGAAGAATGTATATCTAAATGTGAGAACCACACTTTGAGCTGAAGAATCAAAAATAAATTTATACATGGGCTTCCTCTCAACTTTTACATTATAAGATGTATTAATTTTTATAGCATTATTCATGATGCTTATAACTGTGTTCTCTTGGTTTCTTTTCAGTTTGGATTTGAAATTAGCTTTCCTGAATTTTGTTTAAAGGGAGTCACACCTAAGAATTTTAGTACATCTAATTTAAATACTGGCTTTCTTGCCAAAAAGATGCTACCATTAAAGGATAAGAATATTTTGCCAAAGGTAATTGTATTTAATCATTTATTTGTGCGTATTTTTGTTCCTATAAAATATGTTTGAATCTTGAGTTAATTATTATTGATATATATAATATATGTACTTAAGTATGCTCGCTAGCGTAATTTTTAGTATAATTGAATGCTTACGTTATACTGTTATCAGCATTAAATGTTAATGAAGCTGTCATTGTTTTTAAATTTTTTTTTTTTTTTTTTTTTTTTTTTGAGACAGAGCCTCAAGCTGTCCCCCTGGGTAGAGTGCCGTGGCATTACAGCTCACAGCAACCTCCAACTCCTGGGCTCAAGCGAGTCTCCTGCCTCCGCCTCCCAAGTAGCTGGGACCACAGGCGCCCGCCACAACGCCCGGCTATTTTTTGGTTGCAGCCGTCATTGTTGTTTGGCGGGTCCGGGCTGGGGATTCGAACCCGCCACCTTAGGTGTACGTGGCTGGCGCCTTAGCCGGTTGAGCCATAGGCGCCGAGCCTGTTTTAAACTTTTTAAAAAATATATTATAATTATAATATCAGTGTAGGCCTGAAACCACATTTAGTTGGGACTTTAGTATGTGACCTCTAAGACTCAATTTAGAGAGAATGTGATCGAACAGAAGGAACTTTAGTGTTAGGGAGGCCTAGGTTTCGAACCTGCCTGTCATCTGTGTGGTGCTGGGTATAATCTTGTTTAGATTGATCAACTCATTTATGAAGTGAGGGCAATAATAACACACCTATTTTACAGAGCTTTGAGGAATAAAGTAGTAAGAAATTAACATCTGACAAAGTACCTGACATATGCTTACTACTCATCCCATGTCTCTCATAGATGTTTTCTTAAAGTGCAAGTAATTACAAAATACAATAATTAGAAAAGCATTCAGTTGGCTTTCTAATGTTGGAGAAATAACATAGGAAGAGGTATTTATATGGAAGCACTTTAAAAATCTATGAAACATTTTGGCCGTGAAGTTACAAGGATATCACAAAGATGGTTAATATCTTCTGATCAAAGAGTAGTACAAAAAGGGGGCATAATTTCTGATGTGAACTTAATTTCTAGTATTTGTTTAGAATTGCTTAATTAACTTATAGCCATCTTTCACAGGAATATTAAATTCTTTTCTAAAGATTAGAATCATAAGGTTGATGACCCCAACTATATGAATAATATATCTAAATTTTTGCTGCTATTTAAGAGAATCTTAGAGTATAAACTCTTCAATAAATGTAAAATCCATCCTTTCTCTCTCTGTATATGTATACGTACATAGTCATATATACACATCAACACTGTAGACACACATATACCACACTTATACCTAAATATGCTATTTATACACATTATTATATGTAGTCAAATTATTCAGCTTTTTGCAAGTTTAAAACTTGGTGTAGCTTTTTCAAGACGTGTTCTCTTTTCTTTAATGTTTATGGGAAGCACCATAGCTCCGGCTATTAAATAACTGTCTTACTAGATCACTCTAACTTAGTTTTAGGTGCTACCTGAAGTGCAATACTCAGCCGGCACATGGTTGGCTTCACTATATTTCCTTCTAATTTTTCAGTTTTTCTCCGGAATTTTTTTGTTTTACTCTCCACATACCATTCAACCCAAGTTCATCCTAGCGTGGCTTTTCTTTCCCCATTTCAGTCCTGCGATCCTACCTGCTGAGAGAGGTTGCTAATTTGTTTCTTTAACACTGTAGCCTTTTGAATCACCTGTTTGTCTTGTTGAAAATAAACAGCAAAAATTGAGCTCTTATCCTCTGTCTTGCCTCTTTCTATACTTATTTTCTCCTGGTAAAGCTCCTTCTGGTTACTGAGAGATCTTCGTATTTGTATATTCTGGAAGGTAGAATTGAAAGAAATTCTTGTCTGCTATAGAAGAGTAAATGTTTGGTTTGCATAATGTGTAAAAAGTTGCTTTTTAATACTCATTTAAAAATTTTTATCCTTTACTAATTTATTAACTTTTATTTTCATTTGTAGTATTTAAAACATCATACAATTTTAATTTCTTTTTTAGGTTTTCCATTATTATGGCCCTGCTTTAGAATTTGTACAGATGATAAAATTATCAGATCTACCCTCCTGCTATATGTCAGACATCGAATTCGAGTTGTATCCTTTTCGTTGTATGTTCATTTTAGATTACGTTTTCTGTGCCAGGTAGAATGTTCTGTTCATGTCAGGTGTTAAGTAGGCACGCATTTTTATTTCATTTTATTTATTGTTTTAATGTTGATGTCCAAGTTGGCTGCCAGAATCTTTATTGCTGGATTTGCTGGGAAAGGAGGTTCTTGCTTTTCCCACATCCTGGATTCTAAACCTACCCTATCAGAAATGTTTCTCCCTAGGCAAGCACCTTTATTTTCAAGCCATATTTATTTGTTGTGGGTTGGGCTATGGAAATAATACCCGAAGGTGTTTTTTCTTTTGCAGTTTTTGGCCGGGGCTGGGTTTGAACCTGCCACCTCCGGCATATAGGGCCAGCGCCCTACTCCTTTGGGCCCAGGTGCCTCCCCCCAAAGGTTTTTAATGGAGTTACAATGTCCTGTGTCTCAGCATAGGGACAATCTGTTGTCCCATATTAGAATTATGCTCTAGACCAGCTGTTCTCAACCTGTGGGTCACGAACCCTTTGGGGGTCTTCTACATATCAGATATTTACATTACAATTCATAACAGTAGCAAAATTACAGTTATGAAGTAGCAATGAAAATAATTTTGTGGTTGGGGGAAGCATAGGAAGGTTGAGAACCACTAGTCTAGACCAATGGTTTTCAAACTGTTTTTTAAGGAAAACCTAGAACTTAACCAAAGCTCTTTGAGTGATGGGATTGAAAGGTTAGTTGAGCAGTCCTGGCTCTGGGCCCTAACTACAACTGGAGTAGCATCTCTCTTCTAAATATTGGGCTTCCAGGGAAGATCTCATTTCCTGATAAGCTGTCTGCATCAGAATGGTTTGAATAGAACCGTTTAAACTGTTTTCATGGTACCACCCCATACTTAGATGTTTGACCATTTGTTTTTAAGTAATATTAAGTATACTTTTTATGCTGTTGTTTTAAAAAATGTTCTACAACTTGCAGAAGAAAACATTCCCACTAAAGTACTGTATTGATGCTTCTGGAATAGGCAGAGGACTTCATGGTATTGCTACTCATTACTTATAGGGTAGGGAGGAGGGAAGAATGTTAAGAATCTATGGAGAAAAACAGAGTAATTTATGAACTTATGAAATGTTCATATGTTTTTCCTGCTGTCAACATGATTGATATATAAGTACCAGTTGACTGATGTATCTTTTTATATACTGAAGAAATATAAATGCTATCACATGTATCTGCAAATATTTAATGTTTTTAAGTCACTTTTAAGGATAAATATGTAAGAAATTTTAGAAATATACCTAAGAACAGAACGTCTTATATAAAAAGAAATTGAGATTGGTTGGAAATGAAACATTGGGATAGTGTTTTTGAATTTTTATTCAAAAGCTGCGGTATATAAATTTCTTGTTCTGATTGTTTATAGTATTACTACTCATAGTAAAAGTATTTTTTAGTATAATTTCAGTATTGAATTATCAGGAAAATAATTATCCTTTAGGAAAGGAATAATTGTTAATTCCTTCAGTTAAATTTTGTAATTGAAATTACACAACTTGTAGAAGAATTAAAATAATCAAACTTAGGGAGTAAATTCTTTCAGAGTTGCCATTCCGTCTTTAACTCCTTAGTACAGAGGATTGACAAAAAACAGTACCAAACAGAATTCCATGTTGCTGTTGGAACAGATTTCATCTCTGTGTGGCAAGGTATCTCTAGTTTCTTGTCTTAGCCAAAAGGCTGAGAAGCTCTGGTTTTTTGTTTTTATACTTAACACTTAAGGATGTATAGGAAAAGGAAATATAACTTATTCATCTGTTTGGCTTGATGGCTTGGTTTCTTTAATGTAAAGTGACATGATTTTGGTCCTAATTCACAGTGAGAGGTTTTGAACTTCTCATAGTAACTCTAAAAGTACTCTGCAGACAAAGTGATGTTTTATTTTTAGAAGAGATTTTCAGAAATAAGCTTTCTAACTGGTAATTGCTTTAACATTTCAAAATTTTACAACACTTTATTGTGAACCTATTCCAACATCTGATTTCAGTTTTGTGAGAAGCCATTTATAGACATGCATTACTTTTTTCATGGTAGGATAGGGGTTGGAAGTGAAAATCTTCTAAATCTTCACTAAGCTATCATTTGGGAGTTTTAAGTTTTTTCTTACGTAATTCTGATGATTTAGGAGATTTGTAGATATTTTAATATTTATTATATATATAATAACATGGTAAAATTGGAATAGTTTTACCTTTTTTAACTACAGTATAAAGGATTTTAAGTGGAAACAGCTGTTTAAAGTAAAGTCCAGGTTTTAATAGGAAAAAGTAAAGTTTGCCTTTCTTTCTGGCTCTTAGTTCAACCGTTATATTTCTATGAAAATGATTTTTAATGCACAAAATACATATTGACAATATTTAACAGCATTTTCTTATTGTCTTAAGAACAAATATGCTATTATCCAACAATTCTGCTAGGAAAAATAATATAATTATAGCAGTTTTCTTATGGTGCTATAATCTAATCTTTGTTATAATTCTATTAGAAAATTGATATAGTAAAGGAAATACTATTTTGGCCTTAAGATGCTTGTCTATATGGTAATTTAAAATTTTGGCTTCCAGCCTCTTTCTCTATAAATTTAATAGTCTTTTGAATAATGCAGCCTTTTGACTGAATCCAAATTTTACAGAACAAATCCTTTTACTAAAAGGGGTGCAACAGAGAAAAAAATGAAGCTTTTCTTGCCTCCTTTAATACTTAAAAATAACAAATCTTGAAATCAGAAGGCCACAATTTCCCCACCTTTAATTCTAGTTGTACGCTAGGGACTATTCTCCATATTGGAGACCCCGTAATGAATGGTAGAGATGAAGCTTCAATCCTTGGAACTTAAATTTTGGTGGATAAATAGAAAATAAATAACTGCAGGCATAAGAACTATGAAAAAGTATATAGACTGAGATAGGACATAAGCCAGGGGAATTTACTTTAGAGATTAGTAAAGTCATATATTTCTACAGATCAATTTGCATAAAAGTTTTATGAATTGATATAGTTTAAAAATAATTGTATACTAAGAATAAAAATATTCTGCTCCTGGTTTAGCTCAAGTAGCTCTCTGTGTAACACTAGTGATTGGTCTTTTAGAGCCTCTTTATTCTAGGAAATGGTAATGTTATTTGCCATTTATCATTAATCATCTCCTCTAAATTACAATTAAGAAAAGAAAGGAAAGTGGTATAGTAGGAAAGTCTAAAGTATAAGAGCATGTACTTAAAGAAAATTAAGTTTAAGCCAGCTTTGCCACTCACTGGCTTATAGCTTTTTAAATTACAAAGTGGAAATACAATCATCCCTGTGTTACCTATTTCAGAGTTGTAATGAAAACCAGATTGGAATATATTTTATAAACTACTAAGTATACTATAAATGATGTTTGCTAACTAATTTTTGTTGTCTTTGAAGTTTATGTGGTCCACATCATTAACCCATATATGTGAAACAATTTCTTTAAAACTATAAATCATCAGATATTCTCTTGAGTAATTTGAAGATGTGATGAAATTTGTAGAAATTTTATAGAGAAGTTTTATAGAGAAATTTCAAGTCAAAATCAGATGTATACCTGTAATTTGTTAAATATAGGTATAGAATAATTCTTTATCTAGTTATTGAAGATAGGCAATACTAATCCTAGAAGCAACCTAAACTATTGATATTTAACCATATTGTATTTTCAGTTGCTTTATTTTAAATTTATTGCATTTGATTGTCATTTTTATTGCTTCTTAGACCATAACTATAAAAAATTAGAATGCTAATATTATTAGTAGGGAATAAATAAATGATCTTTATAAATATGTTCCCACTTTGATGCAGCAAAAGAAATAAATAATTTTTGAAACGTAACATAACTTAGACATTCTCTAAATGTGAAGTAGTTTATTTTTCTTTTACATTGAGTTTTAATTAATTTATCTTTTATATTTTTGGAAAAAAGCTTTGAATTGTATGTTCTTTCCTTGAAATCATTCTAGTGCTTTATATTTTGGTTTCTATTCATTTATTTGACTTTTTTTTTTTTTTGTACTGCCTACACTGTGCCAACTACTCATTCTAGATACAGGAGAGAATAAGATGGACAAGGCCCTTCCTCAGGAAACTGATGCTTCAATCAGTTTAAAATCTAGTGATTTATGTGGTTTTTAATCAACTTCTGAGCTTAAAAAAATTATCTATGATTAGCCCCAGAATATAAGTAAAAATTTCTTGAAGTACAACTTAAATTATTAATAATTAAGCAGATTAGGAAAAGACAAGATAGAATTGTGAGTGAGTCACAATGTTCGCTAATCTTATGGCCAGGAAGTATTTCTTTAAAGAGAGGAATTTGCAGAGTTGGAAACATAATTTTCATAGTATCTGCCTTTAGGGAGGACCTCTTGAAAAGATTGAATCAAGGTTTTTGAAACTCAAATTTAAAATACTGTTAGTCTTTTATACTCTGGAGATAGAACGATGTTCCAAACAGATCATCCTCAAGTCTCTCAGAGGTTATCTGTGAATACTGTGTGGATGAGAACAAGTTATCGGAATCTAACTTTGTTAAGAATATAGTATCAACAATTGGCAAATTTGTTTTGTAGGGAATTACAGTTTGTGTGGTTTAGAAGTGTCTGTTTTCATATTTGTAGCAAAAGTTTAATCAGTATTTGACTATTTAAAAATAAGTCCACTTTTAGAACTAATGAGTCATAGCACATTCACATCATGCTATAAGTGCATTAAACATCATGTAGCATCTCTAAAATGTTGAGAAACTGTAACCAAGTCTCATTCTGGCAACTCACATTACAGGTTCATTGACCTTTTGGACAATGCAGTCTTATCTATCATGTGTTTTGGGCTATGAAGTCTTAATGTGTGCAAGAAAGAAGAACTGAGATTTAATGTTGAGAAAATCAAACATATCTTGTGTATATATAATGATTTTATATTGCTAAATATTTTTATTTTTAATTTATAATGCTTGGTTATATATATGAATTTTAAAAGTGACTGAATTAGGTTTATCTTTGGCAAATGCCTTGCCTGAGTTTCCCCATAGATTTCAAAAGAAACTAATGATTTTTGTTGGGATGTGGTGATTAATGTAACTACATTTCTAAAATAATACGCAACATACAGCTTTTCAGAGTTGCAATCTGTTTTATTTAGTTCTTAATCAAACTGAGAATTTCCTAAACATATTATGGTGATTTTTTTGAACAAATATTTAATGAACATCTGTATCCCCAACTCTGGGATTACAAAGATGAATAAGCTGATTTTGCTCATAAATCAGTCAGACACTGCTATGTTTTCTAGCGTGCAATTCGTTGTTTTTCTGCAGTTTTGAATTACTAGTATTAAATGTCTAATTTCTAGGAACAGAGTATCTAACTTGCCTTCAGATGTGTTCTATTTTGAAGCCAGAACAGTAATCTATCCAGTCAAAAAGATTGTAAGAGTATGGTGAATATGACCTCTTTTGGTAGAACTCTCTCAGCCTTATGCTGTTTTGTCAGTATACAAAGAATTTACATTCACAACCAGAACTTGAAGCAAATATTGTGAATAATAAAGATTTCAGAGATGTAGGCCTCAGTGGAAAAGGGAAGTCTAGCTTTGAATGCTACTTTCTATTTTTGTCTGTCTACATTTTGGCTTTTGTTCTGTTTCATTTTGTTTAGTCAGAGGATGATACATTGTTCTTACCTTTTTAGTTTTTATAGCAGAGTTGTTGGAAGAGGGAGCATTACTAAATACATGTTAAATAGGTGAAATATGAGTGAAAAACGAGTGCCAGATGGCACTATTTAAGAATGAATCTCAGTGTGCAATCAGTAAATATATGTTCTGTTCTATTCAGGTGGGTGCTCTTTTTGTATTGCCATGTACTGTTAGTAACATACTTACTCCACCTCCCAACCAACTCAGTTCAAGAAAATGGAAGGAATATATAGCTAAAAAGCCAAAAACAATCAGTGGTAAGTAGTAGATCTTTAAATTGTTGATGGAACATAGATAGTGTATTTATCAAATTTGAAGTGAAAATAACATCTCTTTATAAGAAAATACTATTTCATATTATTACTGCTGATTAAAGAATCCACGTCATTTTAAGACTTTTAATTATCTGTAGCAACCTACTGTAATGGAAATCATAACCATATCGTTAAACATGTCAGTGATCTACAGGGAGAACTTTTGGTTCATTGGGTAGCTAATTATATTGAACATGGGTTCCTTAGAGACATTGCAGGAATCAAATTTATGAAAATAAAGTCTTCATTTATTATATGGCATATTAAAAAAACCTGTGAGTACAGTTTTCTTCAAAAATTAGTAGAACTTATTTGACAACTTAACTATGTTACACAGTGTTCTAAGTACTGTACCTTAGAAATAACGATTCATTCACTATTTATAAGAAACCTATATACTTACAAGAAATCCATATATACCTATATACTCGTTTTACTGATGGGGAACTTCGGGCTTGGAGAAGTTACTGAGCTGTTACAGAACCTATACAGATAGTACTGGCTCTGCCAATTAATAGCTCTGTAACTTCTCCAAGGATTCGACTCTTTGCTGTGTACTGTTTACCACTCTACTGGCACTATAAAAATTAAATTTTACCTTCCTGTTTTAAAATCAGAGATTAAGTTTAAATCATAGTATTTCATGAAGAATTAACTGTCTCAAAATGTTAAAGTTACTTTTCCCAAAGTCACGGCCAGTTAAAGTGTGTTCCTTTATACTTTTGCTTGAACAATAATTTGTTTAATCTTTTTTGAGCTTATGATTAGTTTTTGGTGACCCATGGTGTGATAGAACTATAAATGAAACATATATACCAGCTCTGTTGTAAAGAAATCTGTAGAAATATTCCACAGAGCCCTAGAATTCCAAGAAATACAATTTTAAAATCAGCTATTTACATAGCCCTGGAGAGGAAATAGGGAAGATACTGAATTCCATTTTAGCAGATGTTGAATTTGAAATGCAGGTAAGTTATCTATGTGGAGATTGAAGTCTAGTTTGAAATTTATGTCTAGATCTCTGGAGAATAGGCATGGCTGGAGATTTAGATTCTGAATTTACTAGCAGTTTCATTTATCTATCATGTGACAGACTACGCTACAATTTAGTGGCTTAAAACAGCAAGTATTTTATTTGCTCATAGTTCTATAATCTAAGCTGCCTTAGAAGGCTAGTTCTACTTACCTTACCAGTGGTCATTGATGGCACTGCTCTGCACTTGAAGATTGTTTAGCTGCAGAGCCAGCTGGCTTTCCCTCTCTCTCTGAATTCCCAGAGCCTTTTCCTTGCCACTTGGTCTCTTTGCATGATCTCCCCAGCAGGTTAGCTGGAATTTTTACATGGTGGCTCAGGACAAAGACATCAAAGTTTGAAGCTGCCAAGACTTTTTAAGACTTTGTCCCTGAACTGGCACGGTCTCACTTCTGCTACTTCTAGTCACAAGAGTGGCCCAGATTCAAGGAAGAGGTGATTATCTAAAGGCATGAATAACGGAAAGCCACTGACATAAAAGCCTACCACAGGTAGGCTAATGTAATAATTAGGAATTATTTGTGTGTTAGAAAAAACAATACATCAAAAACATGGCAAGAGAGCCCAGGACAGTCTTTAGAAGTGCAGTGGTCTCTCAGTATCCACAGAGGATTGGCTTTAGGACCCCTAGAATACCAAAGTCTTGGATGCTGAAGTCACTTATATAAAATGGAATAGTAATTTCATATAACTTATGCATCTCCTCCTGTGTACTTTAAATCATCTCCACATTACTTATATCTATGCAATGTAAATGCTATATAAATAGTTGTTATTCACCTAAATTTAAAATGTTCACTTTTAAAAAAAACACCATTAAGAAAATTAAAAAATAAGGTACTAAGGGAAAATAGATCCATATATCTGACAATAGACAGATAAATATATATAAAATTCTAACAATTCATTAGTAACCCAGTTAATAAGTAGGCAGAAGACTTGAGTAAACATTTCACCAAAGACACGTGAATGGCTAATCAAGCACATTAGAAGATACCCAACATCATTAGTTTGGGGGAATGCAAATAACAACCAAAATGTGATTCTACAATACACTTACTAGAATGGCTGTAATAAAAAACAGTGACTCTCAAATGCTGATGAAGGCGTGGAGAAACTGAAAACCTCACTATTGTTGGTGGTGGGGATATAAAATAGTACAACTACTAAGAATAACAGCTTGGCAGTTAAACTTACCCTTACCTCTACAACCCAGCCCCTTCATTCCTAGTACTTAGACAGGAGAAATAAGAACATGTTCACACAAAAGCTTATAAGGAAATCTTTATAAAAAAGCATTATTCTTATAGCTGAGAATTGGAAACTATCAGATATCCATCCACTGGTGAAATAGATAAACAAATTTGAGTTTTTTCCTATGTAATAGAATACTCCTTAGCAATGAAAAAGCATGCAGGGTTTGGATTGTACCTAAAAAAGATTAGATATTTATTGTGTGATTATTTGTATGAAATTTTTGTAAAAGGAAAAGGAAACAGAAAACAGATCAGTGGTTATCCAAGGCCATGGGTAGGAGGGATATTGACAGAAAAGTGTGATAGAAGTTTTCCAAAACTGGATTATAATGATGGATACACAATTCTATAAATTTCTGTAAATTTGTCAAGTTAGACTTTAATATGTGTAGGTGCATATGTAAATATACATATAAATTATACCTCATTAAAGATCTTTATTTTTTTTTTTTTTTGTAAGAATCACTTGAAGGTCCTCCCTAAATGCAGAGTTTTGTTTCTCTCTCTAGTTCAATGAACAGCTACAAATTAGAATCCCCTTAACAGTTACTTAAAAATAAAATAGCTGAGCCCCACCTGAGAACAATGCAATCCGAACATCTGGAATAGACCCAGGTCATCAGTAGTTTGTAAAGGTATCCCAGGTTCTAATGTGCATCCAGGACTGGGGACCTTTGCTCTAGGTGGTACTCTCTTCAACCCTAAGCTAGAGAATCACTGTTACTGAAGAGACTTCTTCAGATGTTTTGAGGCTGAAAAAGGATTTAAGATCATTTCTTTGGGCCTTTTAATTCCTTGTCTGGAAAATGGGGATGCTAATACTTGCTTATTATATCTCTAATTTGTTTGAATCAAAGTGGTAATGAAGGTAAACACTTTGTAAACTCTGCTGTAGCTATTTGTTATTCTGTCCAGTCTTGCATGCTTTCTATGTCTGTAGAAAAAGTAAGAAATTATTGTTCATAAAAATGAGTAATGTCTTGAAATGTCTTTTGACTGGCCTCTCTATTCATTGTAGCTTTCAAATTGTGTATTTTACTATATTGTAAGTGAGAGAAAGTGTGTACAGTTTCTCATCCTAATGTTATTTATTTAAAATAGTCGTGGAATGTATTAATCCTTTTGATTTTGTAGTTTCCACAGTAGGAAGCTTCATATATATATACTCAATTGTACTGTCATTTTTAACCATTTTAGACTCTTTTTAGAATTGAGCTATAGACATTTTCTTGGATGGTATCAGTGGAAGCTAATTAGGTTTTATGCTAAATTGTTCAAACTTAGTCTGTTGAATAAAGTAGGGGGCCCAACTAAGTGATATATTTTGGAAGATGCTTTCTGAATATAAAGTAATTAGACTGATTATGTTTTCTTGTTCCTCTTCACCTGGTGCTAAGGACTGTCTGAAAATTGTAGACTTAAACAGTGATATCATTGTTGCAAAGAGGGTAGCCTTCTAAGATGCCTACATTGAAGGCTAGATTTTATTTTATTGTTTAAATTTTAGTATGATTATTAAAATAATTGATTATATTATTTTACCATTTATTTTATTCATTTATTTATTTTTTTGAGACAGAGTCTCACTATGGTGCCCTCTGTAGAGTGCCTTGGTGTCACAGCTCACAGCAAACTCAAACACTTGGGTTTACGTGATTCTTTTGCCTCAGTCTCCTAAGTAGCTGAGACTATAGGCACCGGCCACAAGGCCCGGCTATTTTTTTGTTGCAGTTGACATTGTTTAGTTGGCCTAGGCTAGATTCAAACCCACTAGCTTGGGTGTATGTCCTACCCACTGAGCCACGGGTGCCGCCTATTTTACCAATTCTCAAGGAGCATATAAATTATTCATAAGTCAGAATTTTCACTTACCCAGAATCTCCTGTTTCCCCAGTTGTCCTGGGATATTTTTATTTTCCTTTTAGACTAGTATAATTTTATTTTCATATTGTTTCACTGTTAAAAAAAAAAAGGAATGTTGTAGGGTTTTAAGAACCACTAAGACATCTGTTGACTTAGAATATGACTTCATTATTATATAAGAATATATGTGCTAATGAAAACCTAATAATAATGTAAGATTTTGTTATATGTTATTTGTAAAATTTGGTTCAGTAACCAAAAACTTGTTTCTGCTTCTTCTATTTTGTCTATATAGTATATCCAAAATGTACTTAAGGTTTCAATGGAGAAGAGCTATGCAAACCAAATGTCCTTTTATTGGTTGATAAGTACATGTAAACAGAACGTTTAAATTTGAACAGTACGTTCAAATTAGAAAGGAATTTTCTTTTAGATTCATATCTCCTGTTTCTTTATGAAGAGTGATGAGAGTAGAATAACTATGCTAATTGTAAATCTTTTTCTTTCTGCAATGTTTACATGTACCATATTTAATAAGTTTTCAGTTAACACCTGCCAAATCTGGAGCAACATTTTTTAAATGACTGCACAGTCATTATGGCTAATGGAATTCCTTTAAAAGTTTTCAAGGCTAAACTAAGATCCTCTCATGGCAAACAAGTATGCTGCAGCACACTGGTTGAAGGGCCTAAATTGTTGCACACCCATTTAAATTGATGATCTAGTTAAATTGGAGTAGTTTTGGGGGCTAGTCTTTGACTTGGGTTCTGACACAGGGATAGCTCTTAGCTCCTTCAGGATTCCCTCTAATGAACTACGTCTTTTGCTTGTTTTTCTTAATTAAGTGAACTGCCAACCTCCTTTATTTGCTTGTTACTACATTTCTATTGTTTTTGAGACTACCTTTAGCCTTAAACTTGAGTACACTTTATTTCAGATAAAGTCAGTTTCTTTAGGAAGAGTTTATAGTTCTCTTTTCTTAAGGTCTCTTCCCCTGGGCAAAATCACTGAGTTGCTGCTTTGGTGACTGGGCCCGAGTGGTAGCTTCTGATAGTCTTTATTTACTTTTCCCAGTATAGAGCTTCTGCCCGTGAATAACCTTATGTAAGGGCAGTTAGCTCTTGGTTTTCTCAACTCGCATATTCTAAGGCAGAGACTGTAGCCTATGAGTGGGGGTTACATGAAGGAAAGGAGTCTGTGAATGCATCATATTTATAAGGAATTTAGCCAAGGCACCTCAGATTTGAGGGGATGAGAAATGCTGGCAGCCTGCCTCTTACCTGCTTGCATTGGAACTTTGATTCACTTGAGTTGGGAGGGGGTTGGGAAGAAGTAGGTCACGGTCAAGTGCTGTACACTCTTAACAGTTTTTACCCTAGTCTTAGTATACTCCTGAATAAATATTTCCTTTGGATATTTATACAAGTTGTGCTTATGTTTCTTGGGAGTGGGTCCACAGACTTTCTCATCCCATCATCCCAATAAACCCTAAAATAAACTTATAGAAAATAGAGACATAAATTCTTTTTGTAGGAGGTGACTTTCATCTACCTGATATATTGCTTTAGATTGGTACAGTCAGCAGCAAATGTGCTCGCCTGTGGAGGGTACTTGACTATGGGAAAATGAAGCAAGAGCAGATGCCTGAGAGTTCAAAGAGGCACGTAAAGAAGACTGAAAACACAATATTAGATTGGAAAGAGAACAAGGAGAATGACCAGGAAAGAGGAACTTTCAATGGAACATGTTTATGGAATGCAAGAGGTAGATATGTGGAACAGAATTGAGAACCAAGAGATGAACCCAGACACTTATCATTTGATCTTTGATAAGCCCATCAAAAATATACATTGGGGGAAAGATTCTCTATTTAACAAATGGTGCTGGGAGAATTGGCTGGCAACTTGTAGAAGACTGAAACTGGACCCACGCCTTTCACCATACAAAAATTGACTCTCACTGGATAAAAGATTTAAACTTTAAGGCATGAAACTATAAAGATTCTTGAAGAGAGTGCAGGAGAAACACTTGAAGAAATTGCCCTGGGAGAATACTTTATGAGGAGGGCCCCCCCTCCCCGCGCCGGGTAATTGAAGCAACACCAAAAATAAATTACTGGGATCTGATCAAACTAAAAAGCTTCTGTACTGCCAAGAACACAGTAAGTAAAGCAAGCAGACAGCCCTCCAGTGGGAGAGGATATTTATAGGTGATGCCTCTGACAAAGGTTTGATAACCAGAATCCACAGAGAACTATAAGAAAAGAACAAGTAATTCCTTCTCCTGTGGGCAAGGGACTTGAACAGAAGCTTCTCTGAAGATGATAGGCACATGGCCTACAGACACATGAAAAAATGCTCATCATTAATCATCAGAGAAATGCGAATCAAAACCACTTTGAGATATCATCTAACTCCAGTAAGAGTGGCTCACATAACAAAATCCCAAAACTCCAGATGTTGGCATGGATGTGGATAAAAGGAAACACTTCTGCACTGTTGGTGGGAGTGCAAGCTAATACGTTCCTTTTGGAAAGAAGTATGGAGAATACTTAGGGATCTAAAAGTAGACCCGTTTGATCCTGCAATTGCTCTACTAGGTGTATATCCAAAAGACCAAAAATCACTTTATAACAAAGATATTTGTACCAGATTGTTCATTGCAGCTCAATTCATAATAGCCAAGTCATGGAAGAAGCCCAAGTGCCCATCGACCCATGAATGGATTAATAAATTGTTTATGTATACCACGGAATATCATGCAGCCTTTAAAAAGATGGAGACTTTGCATCTTTTACGTTTACATGGATGGAGCTGACGTGTATCCTCCTTAGTAAAGTATCTCAAGAATGGAAGACAAAAATATCCAATCCAATGTACTCAATACTATTATGAAACCAATGTACAATTACTCACACTTTCATATGAAGAATAGATCACAACTATGGCCCAACATGAAGGAGGAAGGAGGGGAGGTCAGATTGAGAGCGAGTGAATGGTGGGATCACATTTATGGTGCATAATACAAGGGTACAAGCTGGATCTATTAGTATACAGCATAAATGTCTCAATAAAGTAAATGAGATGAAGTATATATTAACCAATGTGATGTAAACATTCCTAATTCTATATGAAATCAGCACATTGTACCCCATAAATCCATTAATGTATACATGATCTGTGTGTTTATGATTTAATAAAAAAAAAATGTGGAACCAGAGAACCAGAAATAAAAAGTGTGAGTGAACCAGAAAAAAAGAAAAAGTTGCTTGGAAAAATTGGGCATGGGGTAAAGCTTAATGACTATGGTCCTCATTTGGGGGTGATCTCAGTGGGATATTACTTTAGATGACCCTCAATGTTTAGATTCTTTAGTCTTTCCTCTGGAACTGGCCATATTTCTAAAATGGAAAGATTCCATTCTGTTATGTGGCTTTTAAAATTCTGGAAGTTATGCAGATTTTTCTGCATAAAAAGGTAAGTATTCACTTAGATTCACTGATAATCAGTTTAAGACTCCAACCCTCAACTCTATCTTATGTCTTCCAGCCAGAAATAACTTTGTTTTAATTTCTCCAGAGAATAGACCCTGGTCTTCTCAGCTGGGCAAGAGCAGTTGTTGAGATCAGAGTCTTGACTACTTCTTGGGCTGACTTTCAACCTATCTTTCTATCCTGCTTTCATTTTGTTTCCAGTGCTGTCTGGGGCCGGAGTCCTAGAGCTTCTCCAGGATGTTTGCATTTTAAATTGTGTTACTTCAGGGTTTGCTCTGTAGCTTTTCTTGGCTTCTTAGCACTTGAAAGATGGAAGTTTGTTAAAAAATTGTTCATACGCTTTTCTGCTTTCAAATTTTAGTTGCTTTTGTCTTTTCTGCCAGATAGTAGTCCTTGTAGATTTATGCTGTTTTAAAAATGTCTTTATTCTTATTTAGTGGAATTTCAAGAAATAGTAAATACAAATACTTATGTTCAATTCAGTCTTCAACAAAAAGCATTCTACTTCTATTTTTAATCTCAAAGGCTTTGTGGTTTTTCTTCAACCTTCACTATAACCCTCACTTGATTTGCTTTTAAAATATACTAGAAAATGTATTAAGTGACCTTCACATAACTGCTGTGCTAGATTAATGGAAGCTCTCCACTCCCTTTGTAAAACACAATGCAAGAAGCAAAAAATTACTCTCAAGTATGGCTATACACTTCTGCTCCCACAATTAAGTTGTGTTTGCTTGTACAAGTCAGTTTATTCCACTTTAAAGAAATAGGAATTGGAAATAATAGTTGATACATTATTAATTTTAGTATGTCAGAAATATACCTTGGAACCCTAGTAACTTCATCAAAAGTTAATGAATATTCTGCAGCGCCAAGACCACAGTAAATAAAGTAGGTAGACAGCCCTCAGAATGGGAGAAGATATTTGCTGGTTATGTCTCTGACAAAGGTCTAATAACCAGAATCTACAGAGAACTCAAATGTATTAGCAAGAAAAAAACAAGCGATCCCATCTCAGGGTGGGCAAGGGACTTGAATAGAAATTTCTCTCAAGAAGACAGGCGCATGGCCTACAGATAGATGACAAAATGCTCTCCATCCTTAATCATCAGAGAAATGCAAATCAAAACTACTTTGAGGTACCACCTAACCCCAGTAAGATTAGCCCATATCACAAAATCCCAAAACCAGAGATGTTGGCATGGATGTGGAGAAAAGAGAACACTTCTACGCTGCTGGTGGGAATGCAAATTAATTCGTTACTTTTGGAAAGACATCTGGAGAACACTGAGAGAACTAAAAATAAACCTGCCATTTGATCCTGCAATTCCTTTATTAGGTATATATCCAGAAGATCAAAAATCAAAGTACAACAAAGATATTTGTATCAGAATGTTTATTACAGCCCAATTCATGATTGCTAGGTCACGGAAGAAGGCTAAATGCCCATCGACCCACGAGTGGATCAATAAATTGTGGTATATGTACACCAGGGAATACTATGCATCCCTAAAGAAAGATGGAGACTTTACCTCCTTCATGTTTATATGGATGGAATTAGAAAATATTCTTCTCAGTAAAGTATCTCAAGAATGGAAGAAAAAATATCCAATGTACACAGCCCTATTTTGAAACTAATTCATAGCTTTTATGGGAATATCATAACCTAATTATAGCCTTAGAATATGGGAAGGGGGTGGGAGGGGGAGGCGACAGGGGTGGATGGTGGAAGGAGGGTGATTGGTGGGGTCACCTCTGTGGTTTATCTTACATGGGTACAAGTGAATCTTTCTAAAGGCAGAGTATGAATGTACTAACTTAATGACTAAGAGAATGACATGAAGGTTATGTTAACCAGTTTGATGAGAGTATTTCAAAATATATGTGAAAACAGTACACTGTACCTCATGATTGCATTAATGTACATAGTTATGCTATAAGAAATAAAAATTTTAAAAAAGTTAATATACATAGATTTACTGTAAAATAAGAATAATTTAGAGAATAATTTTTGTTATTTTTCTCTGCTTCGCAGCTTTCTCGGTTAAAGGAAAAACCTTTAGCCCAGTACTAAGCTAGCTTATTTTAAAATAATATAGAAATTTCATTATGTCCTGTAGATCAATTGTATGCTCTGTCATATATGCTGAATTTTCATATACCTAATAAGATTATGGTATTTGTTTAGTTCCAGATGTTGAAGTGAAAGGAGAGTGTTCTAGCTATTATCTCTTATTACAAGGTAATGGTAACGGTAAATGTAAGGCTACACTGATTCACTCAGCAAACCAGATCAATGGCTCATTTGTACTCAGTTTAATTCATGAAAAGATGAAAACAAAGACAGAAGAAGCCAAATTGAGTAAGTGTTCCCTTTAAATAGAAAAACATTTTTATTTTTGTTTGTAGATGTGGTTAACTTTTATTGTTTTAGGTTGAAGAAATATTAGACGTCTAATGAACTTACTTTTCCCCAAATTTATTCTTAATAGATTAAACATTAATCTTTTACTTGAACTTATTACATGTTTATACTTTAATATAACACATAACTTTATAACTTAGAGTGCAAAGTTAATTCTTTTTACATTATTCCTAGTAAACTTTAGTATGTCCAGCCTTCAACTACAAAAATTAAGTTTTTAGTATTTTCCATTTTATATACATATTAGTTTTCTATAATATAGTTGTCATTTATTATTTACTGACTCTCAAGCCTCTTGTTCAATTTTATTGCCTATTTTTCTCTTCTCTTCCTAAGCTCTGTGTTATCTGTTGCTTCATGACAAAACTATCCCAAATTTAGCTTAAAAACAATTTGTTATTATGTCTTGTGACCCTGAAGGTTAAATGGATTTAGCTGAATGTTCTATTTTGATATCCCAGAGTGTACAAAAACAATCATAGTGACATCATACAGCTAGGGCTCCAGTCATTGGAAGATGCCACAAGGCTTGGTGTCCAAGATACCTTCTTCACTCTCATGTTTGGTGCCTGGGCTAGGATGGCTGGAATACATGAGAGCTGATTTTTTTCTCTCCACGTGTCCTTTCCCCATGGCTAGCTTGAGCTTCCTCACAATGTCATGGTGTCAGTACAGTCTGACTTTTTACATGGTTGCTGACTTCCTTAACTATTGCTTTAAGATGCTGCAAGGCTTTCTGTGTCATAGCCCAAAAGTTATTCATTTTCGCTTTCACCATACCGCATTGGTTACATAGTACAAATCAGGTTTGATAATTACTATTCCTGAAGGTCTCCCATTGTGTGGAGAATTGCAAAAATCACCACAGTTCCAACCATCAGAAATAGTCTAAATGCACATTGCCATCCTAGGAGACTATTTAGGTCCACCCTGTACTGGTTACCAATTTGTCTGAGTCCATTGTGGCAGAAAACATTCCCATGCAACTGAGCTGTTCTCCTAAGACTTAAGCTGCCTAAGACAGCTGAAGTCTTGACTGTGTGTTCCCCACTTAAACCACAGCTGAAGGAACCCATCTGGGGTTGTATACTTTTCTGGACCCAGGCAACTCACTGAGCAAAACTTGGATGGACACCTTGCTTTTAGGGCACAGAGGAAGAAAGCCCAAGCATTCTGGGAAGTTTCTCCCTATCTCAAGAGAGTACATTCCAGTGCAGTCTGCAGTTATTCTGAGAACTATGGGCAGGAAGAAAGTCAGGGAGAGACTCAATCTAAGCCTATCCTGAGACCATCTAGCACACAGGTCTAACCCTAGATCCATTGAGGAAGGGACTGCATGAGGAGGAATCACAGGAGGTGTGGTTTGAGAGACAAGAGAGTATCTTTAGAGACTATCTGCCATACATATTCCATCTGTGAATTCTTAGCAGATAGAAAACAATGGGGTGTAGAAAATTAGTTTTTGCTATCTAAATTCCCTCAATTTAAGAACCAGGTCAGTGCTTAAAATGTAAAATAATTTAATATGTTTACTTTCTGCTGCTTAATTATTTTTATTATTTACTTTGAAATATACAAGATAAAGAGAGGTAAATGATTTACTTATTTTGTTAGTACATGTTACAACACATTTCCTAGGAACTGAATGTTAATTATTGGCATAGACCTTTAATGTGCACTTTTTTCTGTTTCTTAGGCTTTCCTTTTGACTTATCATCACTTCCCCATTTTTCTGGGGAACAGGTTGTACAGAGAGAAAAACAGCTAGCTAATGTTCAAGTTTTGGCTTTGAACGAATGCCTGAGTAAGTAACAGTTTGTACATCTCATCCTACTGTAACAATGTTGACTCCTTCAGACAAACTATCTTTACTTGCAGCTTTTCTTACATACTTTGTTTTTTAGATATGAAACTCATTTTAAAAAGTCTTTCTGATAGAGGTGGTTTGGAGTAGAAGGTATCTTCAACTTTATTATTACCAGATTAATAATATTACTATGTATTTGTACACCCCTGTTAACATTTGTAAAAATATTTTACCAGGCAAGTTTTATATTTCAAACTTTGATTTTAGCTGTATGCTAGAAAGGCATATAAATTTTATTATTCTGTTTAATATAGATCTCTTTGGAATATTTCTCTTTATATAATTTTGGTAACAAGAGGACTGGTACCAGGTATTTTTGGTAGCGGGTAGACTGCTAATAGAAAAAAATGCAAGTCCCAGTGAAATTAATGTGTTAATTTGAACATTGATTCTTGGTGTTTAATCATGATCATTAATATAACTAAGAATATTTTACATATTGAGTAAAGTTGGCATTATGGATTTTCCTTACTCAGAAAATTAATACTACCATTCGATCCAGCAGTCCCACTATGATGTCTTTATCCAAAGGAGAAAAAGGACACTTGTACTGGGAAGTTTATAGCAGCACAATTTAGAATCCCAAAATGTGAAAACAACCCAAGTGCCCATCAATACATGAATAGATTAATCAAATGTGGCATATAAATACCAGAGAGTACTCAACCATAAAAAAAATATGGTGATCTAGTATGTTTTGTAACAACCTGGTAGAACTAGAGACCATTCTTCTAAGTGAAGCATTGCAAGAATGGAAAAATACCATATGTACTTAGTCCTAAATTGGAACTAATTGATCAACACTTATGTGCACACGTGGAAGTAAAATTCAATGGAAATTAAGTAGGATGGGTTAATTCACACCCAGTGGGTACGACTGCACACTCTCAGGGTGAGAGTACAGCCCTGTACAATTTTAGTTAAAATGTACAAAAACAAATTATGTGACCAAAGTGTATGTAATGTCTTGAAATAAATAAAAAGAAAGGAAAAAAAATAAAATTAACATTTGCCAACACTTTTTATTGAAGGTTTTTCCTCTTACTGTTAATTTGGTTATCAGTCAGAATATTTTTAACCCTTAATATTGTGGGGAAAAAAGTGAATGATTTAAGTCACCTATGAAACTGTTTTCACATTGACACACAAATTTTGTGTTCCTTATTGCCTATTATGAACTTACTTTAAGCAAATCACTGATACATAGTGAGAGAATTCATGAGAAATTGTTTCAAATTATGAAGGCTCCATAGTTACACACAGAAGAAAATATTAAAATTGTATATTCATATTATAATATAAAAACTATCATTCCTTTCTTTTAAAATGTTTTTAAAAATATTTTACCTTCAGTAGCTTGTTTTATTCAATTGAAGATGATTTTAGGATACTTGGTCTCTATAATTCATGCAAGGATTATAAACTTGAAGTTGTGCAAAGTCAGGGTAATTATGTAGTCTTTAGCTCCTCTAACTATTGATTTTTTTTTCCACCAAGAAAATGATGTTTGTTCAAGGAAAATATAATTAGAAAGGCAAATCAGTTTCAATAAAAGGTAGTACAAGCCAAAACCAAAAGGAAAAATGTTAAAAAAAATCAGTATTTTTGTGGATATGCAGTATTATTTTACATGTTAGCCTGAGCATTACTATACTTTGCTGTGTGTGAGGCACTCCTGTATATAATGAGCACCCACATTTTGCCCCAAACTTTCAGGAAAATTGTCCTTGAGAAAGTGGCCAGCTCATGGCCAGAAAAGACATATCCAGGGAAGGCTAATGTTCCCCTGGTAAACGTTCAGATCATACACTTATCTGTAGATAAGAGGGATACCTCTTACCAGTCTCCCAGGAGTCCTTCCTTCTCCTCCATGTCTGGGACTGTGGACCTCACTCTGCCTACAGGCAGCCTGTTCAGGGCTCCCTGTTCCCACCGTATGGCTGGGCCTCAGGCCTTGGCCCTGCCCATCGTACCTGGCCAGCCCCACCGCTACCCTCTTCTTTGTTCATGATGCTGGGTGAAGGCCTCTCCAGACTGCTCCTACTGGATCCTCCCAGACCAGAGCCCTGTGTGCCCAGCAAGTCCAGGCAGAAGGGCACGAAAGGCCCACTGGGTCCCCTTGCTCCTGAGCCAAACTACCTAGGTATAATGTGCGTCCTTATTTTCCCCTTAAAAATTTTGGTAAAAACATGCACATTATACATGGTAAAATACATTACTCATTTTTTGACTTTATCCTTGCCAAATACCCTCAGGTTCTGGTTTTTTTTTTGCTATGAGCCTCTGCAGCTCTTTCTCATTTACCCCTCTTTTTTACCTTTCTCACCAGAAAAAACTGTCAGAGTGAAAGAGCAGAGAGCTCTCTGAAGCTGGTGCATCTCTCCTTTGGGAAAAGGGAAGAGTTAATCCCAGCAGGGCCATCCTTCCTGGTTGGGTGGGAGGAGAAATACTGACAGCTATAACTAGGTTGCTGCTTAGAGGTGTGAATGAAAGGGGAGGGCAAGCAGGGGGAGGGAGGGTACAGAAATGACTGAAGAAGTGTGCACAGCTCTAGGGTTGCCACCACATTTGGCACAGGGTAAGCAGGGGACCTGAAATTAAAGGTCTTAGAGCTAATAGCTGGGCATATGCATGGAATAGCCAGTTTGCAATCTGAAACATTAAATCTTGATTCCAATTAATGATCAATTTAATCCATTATGATGGAAATACTTGTTGAACAAATCTCTCTGAACAAATCTGAGAGTTAATACTGGATTAAAAATCTTGGGACAAAGATGCATCTGTTTAGGATTCCTGTATCATAAGGCAGAAGAAAGTGATGGCAAAAAGAGTTTCCAATGTAAACGTGTTTTGAGCATCTACTTTAATGATTCTCAAGAAAAAGAAACATGAATAGAAAAGTATTTACATTAGTATAGTTAATTCATTTTTTTTTCTTTTTTTGCAGTTTTTGGCTGGGGGCTAGGTTTGAACCCGCCACCTCTGGCATATGGGGCCAGTGCCCTACTCTTTTGAGCCACAGGCGCTGCCCCAAGTTAATTCATTTTTACATGATGAAAACTAAAGGGTGTAATGGGAACAACTTTCTCTGAAAAAAGTCAGTGATTTGATGTCAATCAAAGACTATAGTTCTTGCGGAAAAGCAAAACTTGTTAGAAAAGATTTCCCCAAGTTATCAACAAAATATTGAATAGATTTATTACTATCTTTCCATGATTTCCCTCAATAGTACTGAATTAGAAAGAACAGCTAGAAAAGTTTGTACAAAAATGTACTCATAATGACACTTTGGAAGAACCTTTTTTTCTAAAATAACACTACAATGAAATCAAGTATGTTAGGTGTTAATTTTTTAGACTGGTTTATTTTTATTTTACTTTATTTTGAAAATATTGTTAAATATTTAATACAGTAGAATGATACTTAAAATTTATAAGCTTATAATTTATATTTTACCTAGTTTTGGGTAATTAACAACTTTTGGTTTCGGAGATATCAAATACCTCATTACACTGATTGTTCGAAAAAAGTTTAAGGTTGCTGAATAATTTATAATTAAATAACTGTTCAGTATGATCCAAAAAAAATATCAAAACAGCAGTATTGTCGTTTTGTTGTGGCCAGTACTCTGAGCTCCCTGCATCTTTTTTTTTTTAATTTATAGACCCAGTGCAAACCTGCTTGCCCAGTCTGCTGACTCCTTTAGATATTGTACTTCTACATATTCTTCAATAAATCCTTAGTTATTACTAGCTTTTATAGGAATCTATCATTGTTTTGCTGACTCATTTTCAGACCTTAGTTCAGTATTTTTCTCCCAAATATTTATCTGCCACTTACATAAAAATTTATTTGTGTGGCAATTATGTTTTGCCTAGGTAAACTATCCTGCTCATATCTATTTTCTCTATTTCTCAATTATGAAGGTCTATATGAATTCTTACCCTGCTCTCCAAATTGTGATATATTTGACAGCTTTAGTAAGTATATGTCAGGTTGAGATTTGAGTGTATTTTTAGCATAAGTAAAAATGTAGAGGCTTTCTTTCAGGTGAAAGCAAATCATTGATAGCTTTTTGTTTTGAAATGGCTCCTAGCAGATAGTTCAGAAAATATAAAAACAATGAAGCTTTGTTTTTCTTCTCACTAGGGAGATGTATTATAGTAGAAGAAAAATATATTTACAACCCTCTTTTTACTGTTAACTAATGTTCTTGATGTGCAGAAACCATGTTATTAATACTTGTCATGGGTAAGATCTGGAAGGACCCTACCAAGGTCTGCATGGGGAAGGCTGGATTTTACGGAGGCACGTGTTATAAAGCTGCCGATCTAAAGCAGAACTTTGACACTGATTGCCTCCCTATCCTATTCTCTTGCTTTATTTATGTACTGACCTCAGGTAGTACATAATAATAAACCTGATATGCTTTAAACCTGTGTCTAAGGGCACAGCTCAGTGCTTTTCAGGTAGTAAGTTCTCAGTAAATGTTTGTTAACTTGAATTCTCTATGAATTTATAGGTTACCATTTTATTATAGATGAAAATGTTATTAGTCTAGAGGTATTTTAAAATGAAATATTTTTTATCAAAGTAATAAGTCTGTAAATAAATTTACTACTGAGCCATGTAATAAATGATGATTTACTTATATAATCCTTTGGTTTTCTTATGCCTAGTCTTTCATACAGACAGAATCTTATGTTTTTCCAGTGGCTCTAACACTTCTGTACTCCTGTCATTAACATTCATCATGTGTTAAAACACATGAATTCCTTTTTATTTCTCTATAATTTTTTTCTCCAGAATGTTTCATGTTTTGTTCGGTTATAGAATGATTGTTTCTTAGACTTGCTAGTATTTTGAATTTTTCTCTTTCCTTTTTTCTTCTTTTGGAATCTCCTTTTTCCTAGACCCCATATCCTCCTTTTCCTTAGATTACTCCTTTGTTTGGTTGGAGCTTCTCTTTTGGTAGCTCCTTCAGTAAATCTTTTTAGTTTTTGCATGTTTTATTTTTATGCCTTTTCTACAACTGTTTTCAGAAGCTTTCTCTCTAGAAGCCTTGCTGTAAGTCAGTGTATGTATCTCTCACTCTCCTCCACCTCCCCTTATGTATTGAGCTGTATACCTGATGGACCATTTAAATGGAAAATTCACATCCTTAAGTCTGAAAGTCCTTTACTTATCCCTTTAGTCACTTTCTCCCATTTTCTTCTTTTGAGAACTCTTACTATTATATATTGACTCTTTTGGACAAAAGGCTTATTTTTCTTTCCTATTTTCATACTGTTACTTTTTTTTTCCCTTCTCATTTCTGTAGATTGTCCTCCATTTTATTTTGTAGCTCGTTTATGGAATTTTTGAAGTTTGAGCTCTTGTGTGCTTAGTCATTCCTTGTTCCTTGATGGTTCCTTTATCAAAGCATCCTATACTTGTTTTGTGGGTGTGAAACTTATTTCTAAGAATTATAGCAAACTTCTTGTGTTCCCTCCAGTATATATTTTTTCTGCTGGGCTCCTTTTTTCTCATCATTTGCTTTAGTCTCTCTTTTTGATCCTGGATTTTTTTTAGTTTGGGGGCCCCAATAAATAAAACCCACTTTTCCTCCCAGTGTTGGAAGCAGTTGAGAAATGAACCTAAGAAACACAGATGGAAGTAAATTATAGATGCCAGTTAGACTGAAAGACAGACCTTTTAGGTCTGTGGCCTGGTTAGCTTTCTCATTCATACACTCAGAGTTGAACTTTGCTACTTTGCTACTGAATGGCTATCAGAGCGGGGCAACTGCAGATCAACTGTACGTGAGAAAATCTCTCCCCACACTATGGAAAGCACACATCCTGCAGACTTGCTAGCTCAGATGAAAGAGAAGAAGAGTCTGATCAGAACACGCCTTGTTCCTGACTAGTTCAGTGAGTGATAGGAAAATCAGGGAAGCTGGAAATGTTACTGAATCAAATCCTTGTAGATAAGGCTAGGAAAATGAAAAGCCACCATTCCCTTCAATGCCTTTCCTTAAAGGTCTGGTAATAGTGTTCTGTTCAGCCTGTATTAACTTGGAAGTTTTATATGCCTATCTAATTTGTATAATACCTGGCAAGCTTCAGTGTAGTGTGAAGGGTGACAATTCAGTATTTTGTTCATGACCTCCTACCCTTGCTCTACCCCAGTATCACTAGAGCTTTTTTCTCTGAGGGTGTTCCCTTTCTCAGAAGGAGAGTCCTTTGATCTTTCCAGTTAGGCATTTGTGGCAGCTAGCTTTTTAGCAGCAGGGCTTGGAGTTTGACCTGTTTATAGACTATTATTTAATTTGTTTTAACTCCAGGCTTCATACCACCTTTCAGTGTACCTAATGTCCCATGGTTGGGGACTGTAAAACATAAAATAAATAAATAAATGAAAGGAGAGTTAAGTGTCAGTGAGGGCTGAGCCTGAGGGCTGGGCTGTGGGGGGTGGGGGGAGGGTGTGGCTCTGGGTTCTAACTGCTTTTTTCCATCCAGTCCTATTTTATTTAGTCCAACACCTCACGCCATCCTCCCCTATTCCTGTGTAGTGCCTTTTTGCAGGCACCCAAAACGACTCTGCTTCTCCTCTGCAGACCTGGTTACCATTCCACTGTCATTTCTACTTGAAAAATTTGTTGAAAAGTATCATTTCTCTTTTCTTCTTTTGTTGACCCTTTTTATTCTTTTGCCCTATTTTAGATATGGGGAAAGAAAAGAAGTAGCTAAGCTACTATATTTAACTAAAAGTCTAACAGGTTTTATTTTCACATACGCATGAACGTAATTTTTGTAAACTTGTCTTTATCATTTACCAACTTTTGGTATTAACAGTTTATTTCTATTTATCTCACTTAACTGGAAATTCTCTCATTATCTACAATTAGGATTAAACTGAAAGGAGGCCTACATAGGAATGTTGATTTCCTGGAGATATTTACTTGTTTCAGTTCTGAAAATATTTTCCATAAAAGAGTAATAAATGAGCTCTAGCGTGGCAATAATATAATAGTTATATAGTTAATTGTATTGATTTGTCTTACAGAAAGAAGAAAGTTGGCAAAGCAGCCTGAAACACTTTCTGTTGCTGAACTCAAAAGTCTGTTACTACTCACAAGGGAACGCTTTTTTCATCATTTTGATGCTGTTACTCCTCCCAAAATGCTAAGAAAGACAGGCAAAATTAAAACTTCTAATATTTTAAAGGGTAAATTTTTTTGTTACTTTAAATTTTATTCTCTTTTTGTGCATGTGGCATCTATGACAGGTATTACAGTTATTATTAAAACTTATAAAAAGATTGGTCATATCACAATGTATTTTGTAAATTTAATGATATGTATTTATATATACAAGTATGCATATTTCTCATCATTTAAACTACAAATTTGCTGGTGACTTCTTTCATTAAGTATGTTCAGTATAATTATTTTTGAGAAGAGGTAGAAGCATTTTAAAATGATCTCTCTCATGAGTCTTACTAAGCTGCTATAATGTTTGGATTTCTCTTAAGCTGTATTTTCATAAATTGAGAGAAGCAAAATCTACACAGTAAATTTAATAGAGGTAAAACTACATGTCGTAAGATGCTCCAGATCTGCCTTTCGTTAGGTCAAGAACAGACTTCCCTGAGGGAGCAAGAACTTGTTTCAATATTTAATTGGATTTCTTTCTTTTTTCCTGGATTTTATGGTTGTGATGAATTTGAATATAGAGAAGCTTTTCCAGATCTAATAAGAAAGCATTTGAAGATTTCCTGACACAGTTTTAAATATACAGGACAATTTTTTTTTTTTTTTTAAGAGACAGAGTCTCACTTTGTTGCCCTTGGTAGAAAGCTGTGGCATCACAGCTCACAGCAACCTCCAACTCCTAGGCTTAGGTAATTCTCTTGCCTCAGCCTCCTGAGTAGCTGAGACTGCAGGTGCCTGCCACAATGCCCAACTATTCCTTTGTTGCAGTTTGGCTGGGGCCGGTTCAAACCCACCACCCTCAGTACTTGGGGCCAGCGCCCTACCCACTGAGCCACAGGTGCCGCCCACAGGACAATTTTTTGTTTTTATTCTGTGAGAATCGTTTATATTGCATAGGTTAATGAGCAAATGACCATAGAATTCCTCTTCTGTGTTTGACACTGTGAAGGTATACAAAGAAGTGAAAATCTTGATCCTTTGCTTTCAGCAGGCTTATAATCTATTTGGAAAGCAGGATGTAAAAACAGCAGATAGTGCCTTGTTTAAGCTATCGCTTTAGGTTTTTATGGAGAATCTTAGTGTTCCCAGCAATCTGAGTTAGTTCAGTACAGTATATTAGCTGGAAAGATTAATATACCCTTACATACAATATTTTATTAGTAGTAAAATAACATGTGATATTAGTAATTTGAAATATCTTAAGGCATCCTACATTGGTAGATGAGTGGTAATTATTTCTAAAGCAGCCTTTACATGAAAACAACTTAAGCTATTTATTTATTTATTCATTTAATTTTTTTTTTTTTTGAGATAGTGTCTTACTTTGTTGCCCGTGGTAGAGTGCCATGGCGTCATGGCTCACAGCAACCTCAAACGCCTGGGATCAAGCGATTCTCTTGCCTCAACCTCCCAAGTAGCTGGGACTACAACACTTGCCACAACACTCAGATATTTTTTTAGAGGTCTCTTTCTTGCTTAGACTGGTCTCAAACATAGAAGGTCAGGCATTCCAGGCACCTTGGCCTTCCTGAGTGCTAGGATTACAGGTGTGAGCCAACATGCCCAGCCACATTATTTATTATTTTTTATTATACTTTTGAAGATGAGGCCATCTCTTTTTGAAAGAGATGAAAATTTTTAGGCTACTTAGGTGTATTCCTATTGCTAATATGAAAATTCTCACGCTGTATTCAATATATTCCCTACAGAATTGCCTTCTTTTCATTTAGAACTAATTTCCCTAAAAATAACAAAGTTATGCTTTTATTGCACATGAGTCCTAGTAATGCTCATTCAATGTTTGGAATTCTAGCTCATAACTTTCATTATGAGGAGATATTTTATTTCTATTTCCAACAAACTTTTCTATGGATCTAGGCTAGTTCAGGCCATCAGAGAGGTCTTTCATAGATGTTTAATGTAAGTATTGTATAACTAACCCAACATGCCTTTATACCCACACACACAGATGTATGTCTATAAACTTACATTTTTATATAGAAAAACTCAGTATGTTAATACTTTTCACTATTTATGTGTATTTCTTTTCTCTTTAGATTTCAGTCTAGTAGAACCTGATTCCTCAAGTCTAATGGAAACCAATAATCTGGAATGGCCAGAAAGGCATGTTCTTCAAAATTTGGAAACTTTCAGAAAAGCTAAACAAAAAATGAGGTAATTGAATTTGTAATAAAGCATGACATAGCTCAATAGGGTTTTTTAGGGAGTTTTGTTTGTTTGTTATTTTGAGACAGAGTCTCACCTTGTTGCCCTCTGTAGAGTGCTGTGGTGTCAAATGTCATAGCAACCTCAAACTCTTGGTCTCAAGTGATCCTCTTGCCTCAGCCTCCCAAACAGCTGGGACTACTGGTGCCCATTACAACACCCATTTATGTTTAGAAATGGAGTCTCACTCTTGCTTTGGCTGGTCTTGTACTCCTAAGCTCAAGCAGTCCATCTAACTCAGCCTCCATAGCTCATTATTTTTAAATGAACTCATTCTTTTCTTAATCCTTAAGTTATGTTTATGTGCTATCATCAGTTTGGAGTTGTCTTATAGGAGGATACCTGCTGCTATAAGTAGATAGCAGAGTAGTCTCTCAGTTAAGCGGGAAATGCTTGTGTTCCTCCTTCCTACTCTCCAGGTTTCACAGTGAACATTTTGCTGTATAGCTTTGTGGACCACGCTCCATAGTGGATTCATATATAAAAGTGTATGACTCTATAAGGAAATCTTCCTCCAGGAGCATGTGAAGTGAGGTAGAAGTACTCTTCTCATTTGAAACCATTTGAATTGTTCCTGTTTTACATTCATGTGTGTTTATATTATACCTATTAATGAAATCAGGAGGCAGGGTTTATTTGTGTTCATATTTTTGTTTTCTGGTTCAGTACATAGTAGGCACTTAGTACATAATGTTGAATGATAGAATAAAAAAGAAAATTTAGCTCCCTTAAATTGCTTTCTTACAAGTTACTCAGTTGATAATTGTTTTATGACTCGCTATAACTTCCTCAGTTGATATTGTTTTATGACTCGCTATAACTTTTGAAATACATGTCAGCAGATACTGAGCACCAAATATGTGTTAGATACTGGGAATCTGAGGTAAAAAATACTTAGAGCTTACTTTTTAATGGAAGAGACAATCAAAAGAAAAGAAGTAACCAGGCAAGGAAATGTACTAATGGAAACTACTCTGTGTATAAGGAGTATAAACAAAGGGACTGAAGGAGAATAATTTAATTTGCTGTCAGGTGAGAAGTGGTGCTAACTCGCATGAGGTGGATGGTCAGGGATTGCTCTCAGAGGATGTTACATCTGAGCTGAGACCTAATGTATAAATGGGCAGAGTATATTCTGCCATATAGATAGAACCAGAAAGATCCTCACACAGTCTGCATTTTATTCTAAGTTCATTGGTAAGCTTTTGAAGGATTTTGATTTCCAAAGAGTGATGGGATCTGATTTTGCAAAAATTTTGCTTTGTTGTGGCAAATAAATTGCAGGAGGAAGAGATTAAATGTAGAGAGATTAGTTAGTTGGACTTTCCTGCAGGCTAAGTGAGAGTTAACTTTGATCTGACACTAGAGTTACAGTAGTTGGGAACAATTTTGGAGTACACATTTATAGTATGTCAGGAAAAAACTTCCTGTGTTGGCTTAGATGTGGAGGAGAGAAAGAAAAACTGCCAAGATAATTTAGATTTTTGTGTTTAATGGGGTAAGTGGTGTTCTCCTGGGGGAGATTGGAGGCAATTTAGGGTAAGGAGAGCTTTGGGGAGAAAAAAATCAAGAACTGTACTTTCGGGGATGGTAAGTTTGGTGTATGAATTATCCAAATGGAAATAACGTGTGAACTGGAGGAGAGATCTGGAACTGAATTTAGACTTACCTTTGAAAGAGGTTTTCACATATGTGATAGATAAATGTGAAGTCACTTGGTAAGACCAAGAGGAGAAAAGAGATGGATCTTAAGACCAGTTATTGAGAATCTTAGGTGTTTATAGTTTAAACTATAACAAGAAAGAAACTATAACAAGACAAGAAAAAAGAGTAGAGAAAGGGCAGTTGACAAAAGAACCTCAATTTCTTGCTTTCCAATTTTAGATGGTATTTTACTTTTCTCTGTGAAAGATGAGGAACTTACCACCCCTATTTTCTTCCCTTTATTTCTTCCCTCTATTGCTAAACCTTATGTTCTTCATAATAGATAATTTCTTTTCTCCTCCAAATTTTCTTTTTTTTTGGCTTCTCTCTGACGTCCTATTCTAGCTTGTACCAACTGTCTGCTTACACAACTAGAATCCTGGTATTTCTTTATTTTAATCACATTTTTAGATTAGTTCTGTGTTTTCTTGGATCTCATTTCTTAAGAAGGAGTCTGATGCCAGATTGATTTTTATTCCTTAATGGTACTTTATTCCATCTCTAAAACTTTTAGAATTTTCTATTTTCCTTCGTGTTCTGAAATTACACAAGGCCATTTGTATAGACTTTTACAAGGCCATATATAAGACTTTTGTTTCTTTTTGGTTTTGGGAAATATTCTATTATTTCTTTAATAATATCCTTCCCTCATTTTTTTCTTTTCTTTCTAAAATACTTGTTTTTAACTAATAGTAAATGTCCTGGATTAATTTTTAATTTAAATTTGATTTTTCTCTCAATAATATCTCTTTTCATCCTTTCTGCTTTATGTCTATGTTCTTTACCTTTGCTTTCATCTGTTCTGTTAAAATTTTTGGTAGTCATATTTTAAACTAATAATCTTGTTTGTCTAAACCTATTTTTTCATAGCAATTTATTCTTCTTTTATTAGTAATGAACCTGGAGATGGTACAGCAATTAGAATTTTCTTTAAACTTGTTCTGTTTCTTGAGTGATGTCATTTTCCTTTGCAACTGTTTTATTTGCTCCTCTGCTGTTTTTCTCTTATGTGTAATTTTTCTCCAGTGCCTGCTGGTCCTTGACTGTCTCCTCATGGCTCAGAGTTTAGAGCTAGGTTGCTTTTCACAGGTGGTTGGCATGTGTTTTCTCTCCATAGCTGTTGTCCTGTTCCCTCCCTGATCTTACCTGTATTAATGATAAGAGCAGAAGGATCCAGGATAGAGCATATCTGCCCAGCTTCACTTTGAGCAAACTTTAGGGTATCAGCAGGCAGGATGCTTTGGCCCAGCACTGAATTAGGGGTCTATTCTGGCCCCCGTCACCACTGACAACTAGGACAGGCACATTTATATCTCTAGTCAACAGTTTCCTGTTTTTAACGTGGAGGCAAAAGCATGAGGGCTGTGGTGGATAAGGTGGTAAAGGAAGGGAGCACTTGTACAACTGTTCTATGTATGGTGCTTAAAACTTTTATCATCTTGATTTGTGCCCATTCCCACTCTGATCCCAAATTAACAGGGAGACACCATTGAATTCTTAGTTGGGAGCAAAAATTATGCTGTGTATTTTCAGAATTTGTTTTGTGTTCAAACAAATTTAACCTGAGAATACAGGATCATTATATAGTGAAACTCAAAAGTCATAAAGACTTGGCTTTAGACATAGTCACTTACTCTGTGACTTTGTTGCCTCATCTTTTAAGTTAGAGATAAAAATTCTAGTTGTATTTCAAAGTTGTGAAAATCTAATGAGATGACATATGAAAAAATACTTTGTAAACTTCAAGACACTGAACAAAATAAGGTGTTGTTGTTGTTGTTATTTTTTTGTAACCTAAGACATATCTTGGAGTAGTATAATTTGTCACAAACAGAACTCTTAAATTGCTTTGATATCCTTATGTTAGGGGTTCCATATAAATGCAAATTATACATTTTTTCCATTACATCTAGCTTATGCATGATTGAGCATAATATTGATTAAGATACCTTTGTGAGTCACTGTTGGAGGGTACCTATATAGAAATTAAATTCCTAATTCAGTTAGTATAAAGTTCAGAGAAAATATTTGAATATTATTTGTCTATTTTTATTAGATTTATATTTTCAATTTAAAAATACAGGAATAAAGAAAGAGAAAGTGGTGTTGTCTGTATGTTATTCATCCTTCAGGTGTAGAAATGTAAGTCTAAACCTTAATGTCAATATTTTAATCATGGTAATTATCATCAGTAAAATGCTTAATCTGAGTGACTGCAGAGTTGGCTGGGTGTGGTGACTCACACCTATAATACTGATACTCCTGGAGGCTGAGATGGAAGGATCCCTTGAGCTCAGGAGTTCAAAACCAGCTTGAGCAAAAGTGAGACTCTATCTCTACTAAAAATAGAAAAGTAAAACAGAAAAATAAACAAACAAAAAAAAGGATTTATTAAGCACCAAATCCCAGATTATCATAGCTCTGAAACAATAGCATAAATATAAATGTTCTACACATAGAAAACTAATTTCCTAACTTCATAATAACTTAACTATTCTCTGAATATTATTATTGTCTTTGTTTTGTTTTAAGACAGAGTCTCACTTTGCTGCCCAGGCTAGAGTTTCTTTTGCTCTGGGTCGAGGGCCATGGTATCATAGCTCACAGCAACCTCAAACTATTGGGTTCAAGCTGTCATCTTGCCTCAGCCTCTCAAGTAGGTGGGACTATAGGTGTGTGCCACAACGCTTGGCTAGTTTTTCAATTTTTTTTTTCAAACCTGCCTCCCTAGGTGTATGGGGCTAGAGCCCTTGCCGACTGAGCAACCGGTGGTGCCAGCTGTGTGCTGTAAATTTTTGAAGGCAGGGACTAAAGTTATAATTTTCTGTGAACTTGAAAGATTACTTGAAGCACAACAATCAAATATCTCTTCAAGGTCTCTTCTAGCCGTGGTTATGACATCATGCATAAGCACACTGTTATCCGTGAAATATGTTTATGTGTTTTTTAAACTACTTTATATACAATTTATTCTTAATCTTCACAAATTTCCCAGAAAAAGATGGGATAGGTCTTGTTTAAAAATGAAGTAACACCTAAAATTCGGCACTTTGTAACATGAAAATCAATATACCAGGCCTAAAATAATTATTATTTCTATTTTTCTGATGAAGGTACTAACACACAATAGGTTATATTACAGCGCCCAGAGCAACACAGATATTTACGATGAGAGTTAGAACTAGACTGACACCAAATTAGTTACTATTTCTACTCTATCACGGTATAAACCAAAAAAAGCTCATAGAAAGTTTTAAAACCTGGAAAGAAGAAACTACTTCACTTTCAGAGAACACTAAAGGGTTTATTAGACCAGACTGAGCAAGATGAGACCTCTTCTCTACTAAAAAAAAAAGAAAAACTAATTACAGTACAGTAGAGCCTAAGTCATGCTAAAGTGTGTCAAAATCAAACCAAAGAATTAACAGTTGAGCCCTCCCTACATTGACTAGCTCCTTGTGTTGACCACCTCTGTGTGTTGACCAGTTTGTTACAGTCTTTTGGGTGGTCAGCTTACATAGGTTCTACTCTGTTGTGGGATTTCAAAACATGTAAGAGTTTAGATTCAAATTTTATAGAATTGACACTATGTAACTTCACACTACTGAATAATGGGCTTTCAATTATAAAGAATATAATTAAGTTTATTTTATTTGAGTACTAGAATTGTTGACAAAGTAACTGTAAGATTTATTGTGATGTAAAGACTTTAAAATATAGTTTGAAACTAAATGATTTGCAAAGATTTTACTTTATTGTCTTTGCTAATTGTGTAATTCCTCAGTCTTCTTTTTGTATATTTTGGTTTCTGCTCACATCACCTTTCCCTGACTTTGGTAAATTCAAGTTCACTTTTAATAAATCTGCATAACATCATTTTCCCAGAACTGGTTCATTGCCTCGTTCATTGGGCCACAAAGAGGGTCCTCGAGATTGCATCACATTATTGGATGCTAAAGAATTGCTGAAACACTTTACCTCAGATGGGTTACCAGTTGGAGATCTTCAGCCTTTACCAATTCAAAAGGGGTAAGTTATAAATTTATAATTCCCAATTGTTAAAAATCATTTTAAAACAATGTTACATCTCATTTCCTTAGTTTATTGATACTTCAGCAAAATTTGTATGTTTGATCCATTGTTTATCACGTGGCCTTAATCCTCACATTGTTATCTTAGTCTTAAGGAAACAACAAAAATAAAAGAAACCTTAGCATATTCCCAGTACGCATAGAAGTCATAGTTTCTGCTTATCATGTTTCCCTGAAAATAAGCCCTAGCAGGATTTCTATGCATTTGTTAAATATAAGCCCTACCCAAATAATAAGACCTAGTGATGGACATAGTTGTGCAGCCTATCTGTGTAGCCACACCATTCATTTCAGTGTGGAGAGAAGACATCCCCTGAAAATGAGCCCTAGTGTGTCTTCTTGAGAAAAAATAAATATAGGACAGTGTCTTATTTTCAGGGAAACACAGTAGTATACAAAGGATAGCACTTTTTATGAAAAAAGTTAGAATTTGACTTGGAAATATTTTTACAAACCTGTGTTAATTCTCTGGTTTTGATTTTGACACACCGTAGCATGAGCAATGTCAGTCATGTCTAATAGTAGCGAAAAGCATAGCCTTTCAGTTGAAGAGAATGAGAAAGTATAAGGGTGCTTTTGAAACTATGATATTACCAAATAAGAATTTCGTGTCTATATGAGTAATTTACAACTGATTTGACTTCCAAGATAGTTTCCATGAAGTTACAGTTAATAAATGCTGGGTATTGCTGAAGTTGGCAAAATTACAGGTAAAATTCTGACATCAAATACTTCTAAGGATTGAATAATTGCTAATTACTCCCATTTCTTTTGTTAATGCATTGCTTTGAGAACCTTCCAGAGGACCTTAAAAAATTGTAGATCACTTTGATCAGTTTTACAAAACTAGATTTGAAAATTGATTTTAAAGGTAAATTTTGGAAAGGATTTATTTGAAGGTAGTTATATCTCAAATATTATAAGAACATTATTGCCTTTATGTGCATATTCACTTGAGAGAGAGATAGATGGCAACTTTGAAAATGTGAGGATCTTAATAACTAATAACTGGGGTTTAATGACTTAATGATCTTGATGATATAAAAGTTGTATAATTTTGTTTTTTGGTTTTTTTTTTTTTTTTGTGAGACGGAGCCTTAAGCTATCCCCCTGGGTAGAGTGCCATGGCATCACAGCTCACAGCAACCTCCAACTCCTGGGCTCAGGCGAGTCTCCTGCTTCAGCCTCCCAAGTAGCTGGACTACAGGCGCCCGCCACAATGCCTGGCCATTTTTTGGTTGCAGCCATCATTGTTGTTTGGCGGGCCCGGGCTGGGGATTCGAACCTGCCACCTTAGGTGTATGTGGCTGGCGCCTTAGCCGCTTGAGCCACAGGCGCCGAGCCAAAGTTGTATATTTTGGAAGAATTTCCTTTTCTCATAACTTTGAGAGATTGATAGTCTTTTTTGTAGGAATTCAGAAAGTGCAGAAATGTGTACATTTTGTCTATTTAGTTATTGAATTAACCTAGCAGACTGTGATGAGTTCGTCAAAAGTGAATTATTTATTGTACTCCTTTTGATTAGAATGTTGTTCTTGATGCAAAGTATAGGAGATATGGTAAATTCTTTCTGTAGAAACTGGGTGATTTATTTAGGAAAGTTAGATATGATTCTTCAATGTTAGTAGAACTGCATCATTACCAAATGTATCTTCTGTTAACATGAGAGATGGAGGATGAGCTTTCACAGCAATCAATCAGGAACTGATGTGCTCTTATTAAATGTCCGCCTTTGCAAGGAGCTATCCAAAATGTTCTATTAAATTAAACAAAGTGGAAACAGGACTCTCATGTATATGGCAAGGAAATAATGAACATTGATAAAACACAAATTTATTAAGGTGTTTCTTTTAAGTTGTGAGTGAAATTAAACAAAAGTAGGTAAAGTTGCTAGGAGGGATTGAAATGAGAAACAATATCAAGAAAAAGGTAAAAGAAAGGAGTAAAATGCTAGATACCTATAGAATTTTATATTACAAAATTACTCATTTTAATAGTCATCAAGGTACTGGGGTCATTGTAATTTACTAGAGTTATTTTTCATGGAACACTTTAAAAGGATGTATTTGAATATAAAATCTGCTTTTTAGGATTCATTATTGGCATATATCTTAAATTTTAATGTAATAATTTCAAATGCTTATCATAGTACCCTAGACAAATAGTGGAAAGGCAGTTTTCATTACTCGGGCCGTAGGGGGAAAACTGCAATAGTAACTTTATTATTGGTTTTCTACTGTTTTCTTGCCTTTCTCTGTACCATTTCTAGCTCTTCTGAATTCAAATCTCTGGTATTTCATTCTACCTATTAACTCTGTAAAGACTACTTTTGCATAATTTTCTAATTCCCATCTAACAAGTTCTGGCTTCAAGACCATGTTCTGTTACCTTAGAACAGTGGTTTCCAACTCAAGCAGAGAAGGCAGGCACCCATCAGAATAACTCAGAGATCTTAATCTAATTGCAGATTTTTATATACTTGTACAGGTCTGGGGATAGAAGGGACTGGGCATGAATATTTTATGTAAACTCAACATATTATTAGTTCTAATGTACCTGCTGATGGAAAACCCACTTCAGAAAAGAAACTGGAATCAGCAGTGAGTTTTTTTATCCTCTGTTGTTTAAAATGTTGCTGACTCATAAAGATGTCAAGATGACTACATTTTCAAGCAAGAGATATGGATCCCAATTTGTTATAGTAGGAAGTAAATACTTTTCAAGATTACTTTAATTATTCCTTTGTGAAAAAAATTTAACTTATTGCACAAAACTTAGTTCACTCTACCAAAGGAAAAAAAATCAGTTGTAGAGAAGTCAGATTTGTTTTTTCTGACATATTCTTTAACTTTCTCTTTGTCACTAAATAAATGCATACTATTGCATGGGGGATTAAAAAAAGGAAAAATAATAACAATAAATAAAACCTTAAATATGTGTACAAATGACAAACTTTTGTTTCAGGGAAAAGACTTTTGTTCTGACACCAGAACTTAGTCCTAGGAAACTTCAAGTCTTACCTTTCGAGAAAGCCTCAGTATGTCATTATCATGGAATTGAGTAAGTTTTTATTTACACTGTACTCTTTTAATGTTGTTGATTATAGGTTCTCTTGTGTGCATGCGTGTGTGTGTGCGCTGAGTGACTGTAATAAAAAAGTATATATTGAGACAGAGCCAAAGAGTGTCCAGAACCTCAAAAAACAAAACAGTACCTACTCAAATAATTTGTCTTCTTCTGAAGAAAAAAGTTATTTGATATTAGTTTTAAAGCATTTAAATATCCTATTTGTTACTAGATTTTTTTTCTTTATTAAATCATAACTATATATATGGATGCATTTATGGGATACAGTGTGCTGATTTGATATACAATGTGAAATGCTTACATCGAACTGATTAATATGTCCATCACCTCACTTATTTGTTGTGGTAAGACAGTTATACGCTTTTCTTAATAGTTTTGAAATGTACCATTGCATTATGCACATTAGGTGATTTATTTATTTATTTACTTACTTATTTTTGAGGCATAGTCTCAGTCTGTTCCCTGAGCTAGTGTATAGTGGCATTATGATAGCTCACTGCACAACTTCAAACTCATGGGCTCAAGTGATCCTCCTGCCTCAATCTCTTCTAGAGTAGCTGGAATATTTTTAGGTATTTTGCATATAACTTGAATCTGAAAGTTGAAATCAGTAAACAGTTTTTATATTATTATGATGAAAAATGGCATTCACTGCCGAGAAAATGTACTGATAATAACGTTTGCTTTATGGCCGAAATACCCTAGGACATACATGTTTTTCATGTCTTTGGCCTTGACAAACTCCCTTAAGCACTGATTTGAATAAAATAAGCTACAGTAATTCGATTTTAACTACTAGCGGAAGTGTCTATCATCTAATCATGTTTTAGATTATTTTTTCCGAAATGCCTAAATTTAGTTTTATTCTGGGTTCTATCTCCCTACTCTTTTTTTTCTGGTTTTAATTTGCTATAGAAGAATTTTAATACTACATTAAATTCATGGAATTTTAAAAGATAGGTTCTTCACAATCAATTATCAAAATATAAATTAAGACCTGTTTGAATATTATTTCCTGATGTGCTGAAAATCTACACAGAGCCTTATTAATTTGTACACATGAGAATGTTATGGGATTCTGATTCATTATAAAGGAGGAATTTTCTTCCCCTCTACCAGCTGTTCATTCCTGGAAACAAGTAAACAAATCTGGCTGAGTCCAGTTTTCATTAGTGTAAAGTTATGTTCACTAAACTGAGGACATTGAGACCAAGCTAACAAAGTTACAGGTTTCATGTTTCATCCAGAAACATGGTTTTGTCAAGAAGATTTGGCCGTATTGTGTGAGGACCTATTTATGTTCAACATACATTATGCAATAGAAACAAAATTCAAATGGCATTTTAAAGTAAATATGAAGCCACAAAGAAAGCTCTGTCTTTCTGTGCTGCTGTGGCCTTTAGAACCCCACTTTAGAGGCTTTTCCTCAAATCTGACATAAAGAATATTTAGAAAAAATGTGTTAACTACTCAGGTCGAAATCACCATCTCCTAAGGCTAAATGAAGTGCAGCCACTGTTGGCCCATTTGTTTATTTTTCCATTTATCTATCCTGGAGTATAAGATACCATTGATTGTAAAATATACTGTTTTATTACACAACAAATTAAATTGAGCTTTCATACTGCGACAATCATTTGGTCACTGCATCTTCTTGTTGCTTTGAAGTTTCCTTCACTATTCCAGAAGGTTTGGCAGTTTTTCCTGCCTTCATTGGGATTATTTTGTGTATGATAGGCAGTATTTTGTCTGTTTCTTATTTATAAACAAAAATAGCTTCACCATCCATTGGCTACTTTTCTTTGTCAGGACTCATAAAAGATTTGGTTATAATTTTGTGAGAAAATATGAAATTATTGTCATTCATCCAACACTAAATATTTACTTCACTAATGTAAAATATGCACCTGCTACTGCTTCTTTTCCTTTCTAATTTACACAGTAAATTTTTCTTTCAATTGCGAATCATAATTTACATTATAGTATAATCATTTTAAAGACATTTTAAATGGCAATTAAAGTCAACATGTACAATGTACATAATGCGTCCTACTTCTACCTGGAGCGACTGATAGATTCTAGAGCAGCATTAGGAAGGTTGAGAACCATGCCTAGACACTTTCTTAAAACTCATAGCTCTAAATATTACTCTAGAGCATGGTTCTCAACCTTCCTAATGCTGCAATGTATTCTCATTGTTACAAAGGAGTCATGACCCACAAGCTGAGAACAGCTGCTCTAGAATCTATCAGTCGCTCCAGGTAGAAGTAGGACGCATTGGTAATGTAGGGTTGCTGCTGATTTTTTAATGAAATATATTTTGTTAGCCACAGACTACAGAAAGAACATTAGACAGAGATGCAAGAGACCTAAGTTCACTCCCTGTTCTGGCATCAAATAACATTGTGACTTTGAAGCTCAGTTTTCTCACCTATTACGTTAAACAGATAAGATGAGAGATTTTTTTCCAGTTTTAAGGTATATTTAGAATCCCCTAGACAGGTTTTTTCTTTTAAATTGTATATATTTAAAGTATATGACGTAATGTTTTGAGATACACATATATGTACACCCACAATGAAATTATTACTATAGTCAAGCATATTAACATATCCATCATCTCACCAAGTTACTTATTATCACTTTTCTGTGTGTTAGGAGAGCCCCTAAAGTCCATTCCCTTAGCAGATTTCCAGTATTCCAGGCAATATTAACTATAGTCTGCATGCTGTACATGGATTACATCTCTAGATTGATTCATCCTACACAACTCTGTAACTCTGTACCCTTTAAGCTACATCTCCTCATATCCCTCCAAACCCCATAACCACCATTCTCCTCTCCATTTCTGTTTATATGACCTTTTGATTAAGAATTACCTAAGCAGCTTTTAAAAAATTTAAAAAATGTTAATAACTTGATGTCACCCCCGACTGATCACATCAGAAACTCTGGGCATGTAGTATTTCTTAAAAGCTCTTCGGACGATTCTAATGTTCAGCCATGTGTTGAACACTGAGTAAGATGATCTTTACACTTACATAAGAGATAGTATACTAAAATGTTAAAGTCAAGTTCTGAAGTCACCAACTTGGGTTTAAATTCTGACTATGCTACATAGTATTAATGGTACTGGAAGATTTGCTGTGCTAGAAAATAAATCTAATGATGATGATAATATACAGTTATTGATTGCTTTGCTTGCGCGTTTCAGCCACTGATTCTTATTGTTTATATGTACTAATACAAGAAATTCTCACAATAGCTTTTTTAGATAAGTACTTTCAATCTCATATTGCAGATGAGGCAACAGAATCGTAGATGAAGTTAAGTAATGTGGCCAAGTTCACACATCTACTAAGTAGAACTCACATTTAAATCCCTGGCATCTGGCTCCATAGTCTGCACTCTTAGAAATCAAATATGTAAGTGACGAAAGATAAAGTTCTTTTTTTTTTTTTTTTGAGACGGAGCCTCAAGCTATCCCCCTGGGTAGAGTGCCATGGCATCACACTCACAGCAACCTCCAACTCCTGGGCTCAAGCGAGTCTCCTGCCTCAGCCTCCCAAGTAGCTGGGACCACAGGCGCCCGCCACAACGCCCGGCCATTTTTTGGTTGCAGCCATCATTGTTGTTTGGCGGGCCCGGGCTGGGGATTTGAACCCGCCACCTTAGGTGTATGTGGCTGGCGCCTTAGCCGCTTGAGCCACAGGCGCCGAGCCGAAAGATAAAGTTCTTAAAACTTACAGCAGGCAATCAGATGTTTGGGGAATGATACTCTCTTTGGGAGTTGAACTAAAAGCTTATGGATCCAAAAATCTGATTTTAGAGAGCATTCTTAGAATTTGACAGGTAGAAAGGACAGATTACAGAGAAAGGTTTTAATTTTGACAATCCTGTCATCACATATGTAAAACTGTTTGTATTTTCTTTTTATTTTTTTTAAATATGAGTTAGCAATTATTTTATTTTATTTTATTTTATTTTTATTTTGTTGTTGTTGCTGCAGTTTGGGCCGGGGCCGGGTACAGACCTGCCAGCCTCAGTATATGGAACCAGTGCCTTACTCCCTGAGCCACAGGCGCTACCCTATTTGTATTTTCTTGATGCATTTGTAGAAGGGGAAGAAAGTGAAGAGCTTTCCAAGGTCACACAGCTCATAGGTGATCTTCCTGATTTGTTGTGCTTAACAACTTGGAATTTCTTTGAGTCCAAAAGCATTCACTGAACTAACATTTCATTGATTTCCTGAATCAGTTTTAGCTAGAAACCAGATACACAGATGAAGTGTTTGAAGGAAAATCTGTCAGTCAGTTAATAAGATGGGAAGTAAGTTTTAAAGAAAAAAATCAAAATGTTCTAAGCTGTTTGGTAAGCTTGTTTAGAAGCCTTTATAGCTTTTTAATCTGTGTGTTGAGAATAAACTTGCTCTTTCTAACAAAAGTCAGCGTTCATGTTGTCTATCAGCCATGCTGAAAAAGCAGAGGTTGGTAGAGTTTTAAAAAGTATTAAAACGGCAACTGTATTATTTGGAAAAGAAGCCAAAGGATTAACTTAAATCTGTTGCACAGAACCACACTCAAAGAAAAATCAGATTTTACTTCACATTTTTTAACCTTTTGCCATGTCATATAGCAAACTAGAAAAAAAAAAAAAAACTTGTGAGGGAAATAGGCCATTCACCCAACCTGCCAGCAATTATTTGGAAATTAAGTAAGAACTTTAAAAGTAATTTTTTTTTTTTTACTATCTTCTAATTGAGTGGGAAAAATTTATTGCTCTCATGAAGGCTTTGATTTTTAATATTCTTTTCCTCATTTTAGATACTGCTTGGATGGCCGAAAAGCGCTGGAAAGAGATGGCGGATTCTCTGAACTTCAGTCTCGTCTTATTCGTTACGAAACTCAGACTACCTGCACCAGAGAAAGTTTTCCTGTACCTGCTGTGCTGAGCCCTCTTCCATCTCCTGCAGTTTTGTCGGAGACTGGAAGTGTTCCTGACGGAGATTCTTTACAAAGTGAGCTTCGAACTGAAGGATCCAGACTGAAAAGGAGATCTAAAGATCTGGATTGCCTTTATCCCAAAAAAAGGTGATCTATTCAGTATCTTAAGATACATAGTATCTTGCCAGAAAGTATTTTAGTTTCTAGAGGATTTTTTTTATTTCATGTTAGTCTTTCAGATTAATTCTTTCATGCCAGAAAGTTTGTTTTTATTATGAACAGTAGATGATTTTGCTGTAAGTTATAAAAAGAAATGACTTGGGAAAAACAATTTCTTGCTTATATGCTAATATGTAAACATTAGCATAATGGATTGTAAAGTTTTTAAATCATGGCACACTGAAGATCTCACCCCACAGATGCAGCAGCTGAGCTGCTTGGTGATGAAGGTATTTGGGGTTGGGGGTTGTGTTAGCTCACCTTTCCCTCTCTCCCTACTGCTGGCTTAGCCCCTTAAGCCAAGGGTTCCATGAGGCATGATTTTAAAACCACTTGTTATGTAAAAAATATAGTTTTCAAAGCCTATATGATAATACATTATGTAAAACTTTTCTAGTTTTTTTTTTTTTTGCTAGCTAAAACAATAAATACATGGTTAGAAATTAGAAGTTTATATAATGAGAATTAATGTGTATTGAATTTATATATCTTTAAAACCTTTGTCAATTTTAGCTTCTTGGCATCTAAAACAAGCCTAAAATTATATCAGATATGCAAAAAGTATAAAGTATACTTTGAAAGCAAAATTTTAATACCCATTTATGAGTAGATGAGGATTAAAATATTGTTTGCCTGATATGGAAGAACTGTGGCAGAACTAAATTATTTTGGTGAGGACTTTATAAATTCATAGTACTCTTTTTTTTTTTTTTGAAACAGTCTCAACTCTGTCTCCCCAGGCTAGAGTGCTATAGTGTCAGTCTAGATGATAGCCAGCTCAAACTCCCAGGTTCAAGCAGTCCTCTGGCCTCAGCCTCACAGAGTGCTAGGATTACAGGTGCCCACCATAACAGCCAGCTAATTTTTCAATTTTTGGTAGAGATAGAGTCTCACTCTTGCTCAGGGTAGTCTCAAATTTGGCCTTGAGTTTTAGTGTTAGAGGCATGAACCACCGTGCCCAGCCAATTCATAGTATTTTTTAGACCTGATCAAGCTACAAAGCAACATTAACATTTGGGTTGCTATATTTGTTATTTCTGTGCTGTGACTAATAAAAAGATACTTGTTTCTAAAAGGAGAGTACACTGCAGCCTCTGGATTAGCAGAATTGAAAGCTTTAAGACCCTGTCATGTAAAAGGAAAAACATGGGTCTTAATGGAATCAAATGTAAGCAGTTCAGACATTTTAGAAAGATTAAGCACCCATGAATTTATATAAGTAAGAAAAAGAAATTTAAAGTTGAAAGATGAGCCAATTTTATAGTTTTAACACTATTACTTATTTTGCAAAGCAGTTGCATAGGTCCAATAAGATATAAGTTGTGGTTTCTTTGTTTATCTTAATAGAAAAGCATAAGTACTTAACAAGTGAGTATTAAATCTGTCAATAACACCACCTGGCTTGCATAGCTGATTTATGTGAGAAATTACAATTTGGAGGGTGGGGGAAAGTATAACAATGTTACTTGTTGCTGTCCCTATTAGCTAAAATCCTAGTTTGTTATTCATTGTCTTCTGTATTTTAGTCATCCATTTGAAGAACTATAAAAGACTTTATAGTATAATGTCGATTGCTTGTTCAAGGCAATGATAGCAAGAAGTCTCCTTTTCTTAAATTTATGCTTAAATAGATATATTTGTAACATTTAAGACAATGAACTTCATTCTTGATTGACTTAATCTATATTCCTGATTTTTTCCCTACTATAGACTTATGAAATCTGAGAGTTCAGATTCTCTTCTTTCTCAGACAAGTGGCAGTGTTAATCATCATCACATGATAAAGCCCAGAAAGCCACAGGCAAAGCCGTCGTTGCCACTGGCATGTCCAGTTCCTAGCTGTGAAACTCCAAAAGTCACTACAAAGTCCAGTTCAGGTCAAAAAAACGTGCAGGAACCAAAAACATCAAGGCAAACTAAGGAATCAAGATCACAGAAACATACACGGGTAAAGATTTATTTCTCATTTCTCTCAGTTCTACATGGGGAGAAATTTCTATATTTGGTTACTTTAAAATGTATGTCTACAAATTTTATAAATGAAGTGATTTTAAGAATTTACTTTAAAATAGTCCAGTCCAAGAAGGATGATGGGAAAATGGATGGGGATATAATGAAACAAAATTAGCCACAGATTGATCATCTTTCAGGCTGATATCAAGGTAGAGATTTGTTATAAAATATTTTCCCTACTTTTCTAATTTCTACTTGAAATTTTCCATAATAAAAAATAAACACATATCTATATGTACCTGCTATTTACGTAGCTTTTTCATTCATGTCAATTCTGAACTCATTATTTGAATCCTTTTTAAGATGCTTTGGTCATTACCTGCCAACAGTAATCATGTGGCATGTCTGACAAAGTAGATGTTACTTCTCGATCATTTTGTCTTAGTGAGCTTATCTTCCTTTTACGCAGTTAAATGATTATGTAATTTACAGGATTGAACTCTAAAGCTGAAATAATAGGTTTGTACCTTTTTCAAGAAATATTAGTTGTATATTATGTTTTATTCGAGATATTAAAAGAAGTAGTTACTGAAACCCTGAAGAAACACAGTATTACTGAGGCTCATGAATGTTTCACTGCGTGCAGCCAGCGTCTCTTCGAAATCTCTAAGTTTTACCTAAAGGTACAGTGTATCCTCTACTAGTGGCAGAATTTAGTTCATGTTCAAATGTTCCTGTCTGACATTAAATAAAGAATGTTTAAATGAGTATTTTTTATGCTGTGAGTGTGTAAAATGCTGCCAGATTTTTTAAATAATGAAGATAAGAAAAAGTGAAAGCAAAATATTTTGTGTTTGATTTATTTGCTTTTAGTCCAAATATATGTATTTGTAGGCTATAGCAGTGGTGTGCTATTCATATGGGCTGATTTCCTGTCTCTTATTCATGGGAGAAGATGGAAGTTTTTGAATCCTTTCTCTTCCTCCAGCCCTGTGGTCTTCTTAACTATTGCCCTTATATATATAGAAAGCTACATTTTAACCAGTAGCCTCGGTATTTCCCCTAGGAAGTCTTTGATTTAAGTTGATAATAAGCTTCAAAAAGTAATAATTTTTTAATATAATTAGTTCTCCAGACTCATGGATTCCATACCTATGGACAGACTTTTATTGTGTTGTCATTATTCCCTAAACAGTACAGCATTGCATACTGCTTACAGAGCATTTGCGTTGTATTTATTAGGTATTATAAAAGTAATAAGTAAGTTACAGTGTATGGGGAAGTGTGGATAGGTTTTATACAAATACTGTTTCATTTTATATAAGGGACTTAACCATCCATGGATTTCAGTGTCTGTGAGGGCTCCTGGAAACAATCTTCCCCAGATACTGAGGACTGCTATGAAGTGAAAAGGTTACTGAACTAAATATCAAAACACCCAGTTTTTAATTTCAGATCTATTATCTGTTACTTATAAGACATTGGACAGATTAGCCATGCAGATGACAGTTTTTTAAAACGTAGATGGCATTAGATTATCTCCAACCTTAAGAGATTGTGGATTTTTGGTTAAAATTACAGATTGACCACAGGTATTCAATTCTCTTCCTTTCTAAAATCTCTCAAGAAACATAGTATTAACCTATGAAAAACAAGGAGTCAAGAAAAAAACTATAGAAATGTTTTCATGAATAGTGTGTTATTGAATAAGAAGCTCAAGGAAGTATGATGTAGCAGAATAAAAGGAGTTACAGTCAAATCGCATGCCTGGTGGAGGACCGGAGAGAGCCATGCTGATTTCACTGGCAGAATCTCGGAGGTGCTCAGGATTAGGAGATACCAGGTGTTATGGATCGCAGGGGGAAGGTGCCGGGTGGAAGGAGGGGAGTTAAATGAAGATGTACACGGTGAACTGGGAGTCCTTGGGCTGGCTCTGCATGCCTTTTCCCCACCGTGTTAACTCCAAGGTCCTTTACACATAGTTCTTTCCTTCAACCTCTGGGATAGTCTCTAGGGAAGAAACTGGAGGCTGCACTGAGAAAGCCAACAGCACCTGGTCACCCTGCCTTGAAAAGAAACCGTGACAAGCTCTGTACAGACTTAGCTTTCAAAAGGACTTTTAGTGTCTCATTTTTTTTTTATTTTATTATTTATTTATTTTGAGTCAGAGTCTCATGTTGCCCTCCGTAGAGTGCCATGGTATCAGAGCTCATAGCAACCTCAAATTCTTGGGCTCAAGCAATTCTTTTGCCTCAGCCTCTCAAGTAGCTGAGACTATAGGCGCCCGCCACAATGCCTGGCTATTTTATTATTTTTATTTTATTTTATTTTATTTTTTGGTTTAGTAGGCCCTGGCTCCCTGTTTGAACCCACCAGCCCCAGTGCAGGTGGCTGGTGCTCTAATCACTGAGCTACAGGTGCCTAGTGTCTCATTTTTAAATATGACTGGACAGCCAGGGATTAGCAGGCATTGAAGAAAACTTCTAAGAAAGTGCTGCCAAAATATAATGAAATAAAGGGTACTCTGAAGGAAGAGAAAATTAAAGAAAACTTCATGACAATTGTAATTCTCCTCCAAAGAAGATAATTTCGCCTGTAAAACTAGAACAGTCTGTTGTTTCCCCTCAAAAATATATATAGAATGTGAAATCTTGAAATTAATATGAACTCAGTTCAGTAGAAGCACGGAACAGTTGAGATGAAAAAAGTTACCAGAAATTAGAGCCAAATGACAAAAACATCCAGTGTAAGATAAGAAAATAGAGAAAAAGGAGTGAAAATTGTCAAAAAGTGTAACATATTTTTCCAAAACTATACACAAGCCTCCTGCTAAAAAGGGCACACAGCTTATCTAGACCAATAAATGAAAATTCTGCAATAAGCCACTTTGTTGTAGGAATTTTATACTTCCTAGCATAGAGAGAACATTTTCTAAAAGATTCCCAGGAGTGAATGTAGCTTACAGGTAAAGAATCAAGAATCAGAACAGCTTTGGACATCTCCACAGTGACATTATATGCTAGAAGACATTAGAAAAGTATCTTCAGATTCCAAGGGAACGTGATGTATCTGTTGAGTCCTATATGTGGTGTAGAACTCAGTCAGGTCTGGAGATTTAAGGAAGATACACTCAAACATAGAAAATCTTAAAAGACTATCTTACCTTTTGAGTAATTTGTTAGAAGATGAAGTTCAGTAGAACCAAGGGACTGGATCAAGAAATAAAACAAAAACTAACATGGAATGGGGAAGATAAGTCTTCCTAGGAAAAGGCCTAGGCAGCAACTATTGTGGGAGAAAGATCTCCAAGTTAAAAAAAGAAATTAAAAAACATAGAAACAAAAAACTGAACCAAGATTATTCAGTATACTTCAGTGTTTCAAAAAACATTGGTGTACAACTATTGCTAACATTTAAGGGGAGTAAAAAGACCATAGAATTATATATGTGGAAAACTAAGTAACTGGTAGTTACTGATTTAACAGGTGGTTTAACTACAGGACAAATATAATAATGGATTAAAGAGAAATTATAACCATAGCACATTAATTAGCTCAAGACTAAACAGTATTTACCTAGAAAATGCAAACACTGTTTAGAAATCAAAAATTGTAGTGCAACTTTTATTAAGAAAAGGAAATGGTATTTACAAGAACGGAATCTGTGATTGTTACTGTCTAAAATTGTTAAAGGACAAGTATAAACATACAAGTTAGCAGCACAAGGCTGAGGCAGGAGGACTGCTCCAGTCCAGGCATTCGAGGCTGCAGTGAGCTGTGATGATGCTACTGTACTTCCACCTGGGTGAGAGAACAGCCAGACTCCCTGCCTCAAAAGAGGGGGGAAAAAAGACAAAGAAGAAACATGAATGTGTCAACAAAAGAAGCAGCAAAGAATTGAAAGTGGCTGCCCCTAAGGAGCATAACTTAAGAAACAGCCCTCTGTAGTCCAATTTGATGTAATCATTAAATTTTAAAAAGCAAAGGACATCAGTTTTCTTTCCTATGTCATCCCTCTTTGTGATGGAGTCAAATAGTCAAAATGAAGAAAAAGGGTAGCTGATAAATAAATGTAAACCATATATTCATTTCTTAAGTAATGAATCATTAGTGGATACTCGTGGTGGAGATTGGGGCTTAGATTTGGTCGGCCTGATTGGGAATATGAGATGAGAGTGATTTATGTATATGGGTATGTATTTTGATATTTGAGAAGGGAGTTAAATTATAATTTATTACCCTTTTGTAGCATTTCCTTAACTACCTTGATACTTGGAGAATGATTCAGGATAACCTCAAGCTTATTTAATAATAATGAGTTGTTCTCTGTAATGTAATGTGCACATTGTGAACTGCTCTACTTTCTTATGTTTAGGATCTTAAAACTTCAAGGGGTCTATTTGGAGAAATGAAAAAAACAGCTAACAACAATGCTTTACAGGTAAATAAATTATGCCTAAGAAACTACATTCAGTTAAATTGGTATTTTATTTCGGGGGCAATATGACGCTTTATTATGCAGCTTTGTCTTTTGAAGACTCTTTAGGGCACTTAGCAGACTTATTTAGGCAGCGTAGTTAATAGCACTCAGTAGGTTGCTTAGTCAACAAAAGATTTCTAAAGGGATATTAAGAAAGAAAAAGACTAAACCATCTAAAGGGCGGAATAACTAATCCATTCTGATGGGCAATTTTCAAAGTTTGGTTTAGTTTCTTTGAGTGACCATTTGAAAGGCATTTTTAGGTAAAGGTGAGGAAAGTGAGGAAGAATCTTCATTCTGTCAAATGAGAACAATACTGTTCTCAACATTGAAAGTACAGAAAAGGGTGTTCTTCCATTAGAAAATAAATGTGTTTTTAAGTGTAAAATTTAAATGTATTCCTTTTTATTTAAAATTTTTTGCCATATTCTTTTGAAGTTTTTACAATATATTTTTCTATCACTTGTGTTTTCAGTAGAAAAGTATCATAATCATATTTTTTTCTCCTCCTAGGTAATCGAATGGGTATTAGAAAAGACAAGCAAGAAATGACCCAGAATCATTCTCTTTAGGACCATTTTGAATTGGGTGGAGCTATTATCTACTACTTTTCTCTTAGTTTGAAAATCAGAAACAAATTTCAAATTTTATTCAAAGAATAGATATCTTATTTCTAAGGAATTTCATAAATACGTATGTAGTTTTGGGGCTACTCAGTTAATGTTTTAATTTTGTGCATATTTTATACAGTTTTACTATATTTTATTTTAATTAAGTTATTTTTATATGTTGTTAAATTTTTACTCTTGGTTATTTAATTAGCACAATAAATAGAAATATTTCTTTACGTCTTGGATTCTATAATATGTCTTTGTTATAAGGCCTAATAATTAGGCCTTAAATTTTTCAGTCTCAAATAGGATATTGCCAGTGGCTTTACCCGCAACAGCATAGTTTATTGGACTGTTTCTAATTTAGAGAGTAACAGGGAAAAAAAATCAAAAGAAGCCCCAGCTATAGAGCTGCCACGGCTGGAGCAGCTATCAATGTTTACTTGGAATCAAAAATGAAGGAAAACATTAGAAATTGTGAAGTAAGACATAATGAAAATGACAATACAGACTCCCAGAAAAAAATTTCTTTTCCCATGGTTAGAAAGACTGGAAGAAATGGAGAAGAGTAAAAAAATATATATTACCGACATTTCCTCAATATCTAAACATAACTCCTATAAATATTTTTTAATTATATATGTAATTATGTTTTAAACGCTTTCAAATTTGGGATGTTATACTATGTGTATGTTTATGTGTGTGTTAATTTATAACCGTTTTACTTAACAATATGTCATGATTTTATATTATGACATTTTAATAACTAATACATGACTCATAATTTTTTGAATCCCCCAATGTTGGACATAAATGTTCAGTTTTTTCCTATAATAAGTAAAACTTTAATGAATCTTCCTTGTATGGCATTTGTTATTTTCCTATTATAACATTTTGGTAGCAGGTTTGTGGGTTTAAGCTTTCTGGTACATATTTCCAAATTATCTTCCTGAAAGACCAATTTAAAGTTCTTCCCCCTAAAAACATTGTTCCCATTTTCTTTTTTTGATGACTAAAAATAGTAAAGGTGAATTTTTTTTAATATGTTGGAAGCTCTTTGTTCCTATCTTTTGCCCATTTTTATTTTGAGTAGTTTGACTTTTTCTTACTGGTTTGTAAGTGTTCTTATATATTAAGGATATTGGCCCTTTGTCCTTTTCTTTGTGATGTTCTAAAATTTTTAATTTTTATGCAGACTTCCCAACTACCTCTGTTTTAATTTTTATGCAGTCTTACCAACTACCTTCATGTTTAATTTTTTGAGAAAATGACAGACTTTTCCAAAGCAGCTGCACCACTTGACATTTCCACCAGCAATGTGTGAGGGTTTCAGTTTCCCCAGGTCCTTGCCAACACTTGTGATTTGTCTTTTTGATGAATGATAAGAAGCATGAAGTGGTTTGGATTTGCACTTGGTTTGGATTTGCATTTCCCTGATAACTAATGATGTTAAGCATATTTTTGTGTGCTTATTGGCCGCTTACGTATTTCTTTTTTAAGAAACATCCACTCAAATCCTTTGACCTTTTCAAAATCCAGTTGTCCTTTATGGTCGAGTTATAAGAGTTCTTTATGTATTCTGGATTTCAATCCCTAATGCGACACATGATTTTTAAATATTTTCTCCCATTCTGTGAATTCTCTTTTTCCTTTATAATTTTAGCTCTTACATTTGGGTCTATGACCCATTTTGAGATAATTTTCATATAGAGTATGGAGGAATCTGACTTCATTATTTTGCATATAAATAATCTAGTTGGCCCCTCACTATTTGTTGAAAAGACTGTTCTTTCCCCACTGAGTTTTTTTGGAACCAGAAAGCTAGCAGAATCTTACGGAATTATATCAAAATAAAAATTTTAATGCACAGGAAGCAACATAAGAAAACTCAGTTACAAGCAGGCTGCAGTAAGTCCTCAAGCCATCAATGGCTTCTCAGAAACTGTGACTTGAATTGAAACCACATACAGCACCACTTACACGTAAGGTCACCCTTTCCCAACTGGATTTCAAAATCAGTATTAATGCCTAGTCATAATGGAAGGTGTTGGAGTTATCCTCTTCTGGCCTCGCCATTGTGTATTGGATGTATAGACAGCAGTGAATTTGGTTTTCTTAGTCACAATTTGTAGAGTTTAAAAAGCCACAATATTGTAGATTTTAAAAAGCCACACACCGAGACTCTCATCCCTACCAGATGAAGATCTGAAATACTGACTTTAGCCTGTATGTGTATTAATTATTTTGAATATGTAAGGAACGAAAATTATTGTGCCCAGGGGGTAGAATGTGATAAATCTGGCCACAAAGTTTTGAGCTATTCCTGTTGAGAGATGAAGTCTATTTCCCTTGCCCCTTGCATTTGAGCTGCAATGTGACTTTTTTGACCAGAAGAGTGTGGCATAAATAACATGGTGTGAGCTGGAACCTAGGCCTCCAGAACTTTGTAGCTTCTATTTTGCTCTTGTAGGACCTTGCCCTGAGTGTAGGGAACTGGGCTAGCTACTAGAAGATGGAAGAACTGAGGTGTCCTAATCACAGCTGACACCAGCTGCCAGACATGTGAGTGAGGCATCTGGGACCTTCCGGCCTAGTGGGATGTGCCAGTGAAATATAGCCAGCCACATGACTGCGACTGGGCAAAACCAGCAAGGAACTGCCCAGCCAGCCCACCGAATAATGAGAAATAATACAATGCTGTGTTCTGAGCCACTAGGTCGGGAGGTGGCTTGTTGTGCATACATATTAGATCCTCTTTACATCCAAAAATTAACTGAGAGGCCAAGTGCAAGAAAGAAAGTTACAAAAGTCAATTTATTAAGGCCTTAGTTTGAAAGCTGTAGTAGAAGAAAAAAAAGAAATAGCTTACATTTTGGACTAGATTTCCTTTTCTTAAGAGAAAGCTTGGAAAGGAAGATGTTCCTTCCCATTTTGTGCAGGTGACAATCAGGAAGCCAGGAAGATACAATTAATTAATGAGGTATTACTGAAGGTCTTTCCTGGCCATTGCCGTTGAGTACTTGGGAGAAAATAGGCTTTATTCGCCCAAAGATTTTATAATGGAAAATTGCCAAATATATCACTGGCTTTGTTTCTTGAGAAGAACAGTTTTTTTTTTCAACATTCCCAGGCTCTGGTCCAAGCTAAGGCAGAGTTGCAGGCATCAGGCCAAGCTTGACAGCAGGCAAGTCCCCACCTCTGAGGCCAGAGTCAGCCTTGGAGGCTTTGTGCAGGCGCTGCCTCTCCCTCACCACATTGCCAGACAGCTCTGGACGGTCTAATCTGATCAGGCTCCTCTTCCCTCTCCTGGCTCCTGCCCCCGAGTAGGGAGGGCTTCCTTAGTTTTCACCATCCCTTACCTCTGCCTGACCCCTGCCGTGACACTTTGGGCAGTGTTCCTTATGTGGAGTCTTACAGTCCTCCAAGAAAAGGCCTTATTTATGTCCAGAGAAAAAAATGAATAAAGAATAACAGGCCAAAGAGAGGTTCCTGCAGCTTTTCTGTTACCATTCAAATGTGATTCTATACCTTCCTTGGACAAGGTTTCATTTTTGTAAATGAAGTATTAGACTTGCTTCCCCTAGTGAAATCAAATTTAGTATAATGTAGAGGACCATCCATGACATAATTAATCAATGGTCACAAATTCCACTAGTTCTATTCAAAATTTTTATAGACAGGTTAAAAAGGTTATTCACCATATCAGAACATTATCTGTAAAAAGAGCCTTTTTTGAAAATTGAATTTTGAAATGCACATTTAAGAAGCTCATGGAATATAGAAGGGTATTAAGGTCATCCCATCATCCCTGGTCCCATTTCCCAGCAGTAACTGATAATAAGAGGTCTTTTAAATTTTGCTTAGTGTATCCTTCTAGACACTGTTATACACATACAAGCATATTATATGCATCCATTGTTTCTCAACCAGTCCAACCCAAATGTCCCTTCTATGTAAGAAATATTTTTAATGTCTCCTTTGTTCTCATGAAGGAGAATTAGTAATGGTCTTATGCTAAGTTCCCTAGAAAACAAAACTCGAGGCAAAGATTTGTGCAGGTGCTTTATTGGGGAGGGCCAATGCCAGGGCACCAAGAATGATGAAAACGGGGGAGGGGGGAGGCAGGAAAACAAGATAGGAGTACAGGATGGTGACTGGAGGCCCAAAGAGACCCAGCCAGCCACTCAGCAGGTGTGTTCCCCCTCACACAAATGTCTATCTGGATCGAAGGTATGTGGAGGAACAGGCTTCAGACAAGTATGTAAGAGGGAGCAGGAAGAGGATGATTTATCTGCTTGGTGTCTACTATTAACTCTTGTTTGGGCCCACAAAGACTTAAGCCCCCTGCTCTGCACTGCTCAGGAAGGCAGCTCCTATGTCCGGCAGTACGGCTTTTCACCCAAGTCTGGAATGGATGACAGAACCCAGAAGTTTACATTTGCACCTCCTTGGCCAGGCAGCCAAACAGAGAGGTAAGGGAGGTAGCCTTTCCAGGTAAGCAATTGGTTGATTCTAAGGGGCAGAAACCCTTAGGTCGTGGAGCCAGCTGTGGTGCCTGCGGTGCAGTGAGCAGCTGGGAGTTCAAGAGGCGAGATGAAGGTGCTGAAGGAATCTGAGGAGAGACACAGGCTGTGTCCAGTACAGTGAAAGAACTTGCATAGACTCAGGACTTCTAATAATTGCTATCTCCTAACTGTAAGGACAAAAATAATAATAAAAGAATATGCTTTTCAATATGGAGATGCAAGGGCACAACTACACCAAAAAACGAAATGAAATACTCAAATGTTTGACTTACCAACAGGTTTTTCACCTATAGGAATAAAAAATTACGTGGGAAATGGTTCCATTGCATGTAGGACTGTCATCAGCAGAATATTTACCAACTCTGGCTCTTGTTTGTTAAATAATGGGTCTCCTCCCTGCAATCCTTATAACAACCAAGTAGCACTATACAGACTTCCAAAAGGCCCCAGGGGGTGTGGAAAGGAGGCAGTGTGACTTCTTGAGAACCACTTTAACAACAACAAAAATCTCAGGAGAAATGCATCTTGCAGAGCTCACACTTGGAGATTTTGTCCATTTTAGCACTTATACCTCAGCCGGTGTTTGTAACAATTGCTCAATATTCAAACCTGACTGTGTGCCAGGATGTATTTAGCTACTGATGGTCAGATCGACTTTTTCAGCTTCTTGTTACAAAGTGTTGCAAAGATGATCCTTATACATTAGTGTTTGTGCACTTGTGATTGTATCTGTAGAGTAAACTGCCAAACAGCCCTCCACGTTACTGCCAGATACGCAGTACTGATAGATGATACCTACCTACTGATAGATGCATAAACACCGCTTCCCAGCGCCTCCCACCACTAGGTATCACAGGTTTTAATCTTGGTCAATTCGTTCTTTAAAGATGAAAATGAAGAATTGTAAATGTCCCGTTTAAAGCCATTTTCAGATCAATCTACATTGCTTAGTATCTTTCAGCCTTGACTTTTCTTTTTATATAGGATATTCATGTAGAAGAGAAATTGGATGTTCAGTGTTTTCCAGGGTTGAACCGGGGTCATGACAGAAAGTTAGGCAGATGGAAGTTTTGGCTCTAAGAAGGTAAAAACTTTTAAACGACTCTAGCTATCCATCAATGGAATTGCCTGCCTGGGGAGATCAAGGGCTCCCTCCCCATAGCTGGAAATTTTCAATTTCAAGCTGGATGAACAACTTCAAGAGATGTTCTGGAAGAGATTCCTGAGCTTAGTGAAAAATTATACAAAGTCAGTGTTCCTAAAAGATGTAGCACCTGGGCCATGGGGTGTGTGGGGGATGACTTTAGATGGCATAAACTTAAAAAAATATATAATTGGCATATATTCATTTTATATTCATATGCTATGTTGCAATATTACTAGCAAATTATATACCCGATTATACTAAGGTAGTTCTGCTGAAATCATAAATAAAGCATAGCAAAAATGAGCTCAATGACCTTCAAAACTGAATTCTACAGTTCTAAGTCTAATCTCAATACGACTAAACTTTCAACTAGTAAAAGGACTTGAAAACTCCACCTGTTACATTTATTACAAGCAATGCAAATACAAACCAAACTCTAGTACAACAGAGAATTCAATTAGAGTATTTGGAGCTTGGTATACAGGTCAAATCCCATGAAAACTTAGTTGAAAAGGAGGTCCCTAAGCCCTAGGTGAAGACCCATTCAGAAACTATATCAATAATTTGATAACAACACTCATACTTGAGGGAGTCTGTTAAAGTTTGCTGCAATGGAAACAAATCCGCATATTTTAAATGAATTCAGGGGAAAAAGTGCAGACACAAAAGAAGTTGCTAGAGGCATCCCATTTACCCTAAGCACTTCCCAGCCCACTTTTGGAGGAAAAGAATAACAAGACATTCCCACAGTTCTCCATGAAACCACCATCGAGTCCACCATGTTACAATATGTGGAATACCATGTAAACTTCTGCACTGGAAATCACGGGAATATTTATTTAATTTATATGTAATTTTTACATGAGATTCATGATGCTATGAACATAGGCACATTTTTTTTAAAAACTCAAAAGTATATCCAAACATCATCTCACCTCAGCCTACTCCAATCTCCTCAAGGTGAAATATTTATTATTTATAAAACAATGGCCAGAAACCCTGCCTATTCATTTTGGGAGAATCCTTGTAACCATTAAGACTATCTTCATCCTACTTCAACCAAAAAAAGATCAACAAGATATTGGACAAAATGGCATGTGTTTTTAGGACTTTAATTCTATCACCTGATAGAATTAATCAAACGCCTCTGCCTGGGTAATGTGTAATAGGTTTGTAGTTTTGTTTCTCCTGTTAGTTCAAGTCAGAGAAATACTGGCATCTATATCCCAGTGGGCCTTAAGAGAGGGCCTCATAATCCTTAAGAGAAGGTTTAAAAAGATGCCACCACCAAAGGACTCACTTAACCACATCTACTGAAAAGTAAGCAGCTTTCCATAAGGTACAGATTAAAACATCCTTTTACTTACTGATCTTGGTTTCTGCTTAGGGACAAACATTGTGGATTTAACAATTCATGGGGACTGTGCATGGAGCTAAATGGACAAAAATAAATTCCCTCAAATGACTTAGTTGACTCATTGACTGTACCCAGGCATGACCCAGACTTACGAGTTTGTGTCATATACCCTAACACACATGAAGACAAGATTAAAATCTACAGTATAAAGCCATTGTAACTTGTTGAATTCAAAATAGAAAAAGTTTGAGTATTGGAAATTGATTCATCAGAGTCCCATACTGTTTGCATACACTTGATATTCTTTTAACTTAGAAAAAAAAGATTCATATACACAATTGTCTTCGTCAAATTTTCTATTTCTTGCTAATAACACATCTTAATTTACTTCAGAAAATTCATTAATTTTATTCAAATATATTGTTCCTGAAATATAAATATTTAAATTAAATTTTTATAAATGTAGAATGTAGTTCCTATTGATCGCCACACAGATATTAATCAGTCCAAAACTTAAGTGATGAAATATTTGTAATTATGATCATTTTAATTTGTCTATAAATATATAATAGGATTTTTGCAACTTATTTATAAGTAATTAACTCATACTTCATGTAGTACCGAGCACCTTAGATTACATTGTGTTGAATCAAACTATTAGCATTAATAGTATTCTAATATGTTATTTACAATACACAAGTATAATTCTTTTGTATAACAACATTCCAGTGATTTTTGAAAATATATAGTGAAAGAGTGCAATGTAATTTACAAATGCATCAAAACTTTCCTACAGTATTCAAGCTCGGACTTAACTCTTCAGCATTTTAAAATAGGAAACAAACAAACAAAAATCAATGTCCTAAAGCTGTGTTTTCTAAAGCATTTTTTAAAAAATCACTAGCTTCACAGGCTGATCCATTAGAAAGGAGTTCTGTAGGTACGGCTGAGGAATGCCTCGCCAGATTACTTTAAAGTCTTTGAGAAGGCTGCCAATCCTAAAATCTGTTTTAACACTTTTTTAAAACTCAGTATTAAAGTTTGTTGCCAAACCCCTAGACCCATTCTTAATCAACAGCACTTAACACCTTGTGGAACTAGTATCATATGATTCATACTTTGGGGAAATGCTGATTTAAAATAAAACTTTGCCACCCAGTAACTACCATGTCTGAGTGAGCAAAGTCATGTTCCTTTAACACAGTTTCACTTTTTAAAGCTCTTTGCATGGGTATTTGCTAAAGTGTGGTTCTTAAAAAACACGGGTCCTAACACAGGAAGTCTGTCTATGCAAACTATAGAGGAAAGAAATAAGTGCCAGAAATTCTAGAGCTGATTTTCAAGGTTTAACAAAAGTGACTCCAAAATCGAGTAATAGGTGCTGTTTTTAGTCATTTTTTTTTTTTTTTTTTGAGACAGTCTCACTTTGTCACCCTGGGTAGAGTGCCATAGCATCTTAGCTCACAGCAACCTCAAACTCTTAGGCTCAAGCGATCCTCTTCCCTCAGCCTCCCAAGTAGCTGGGGCTATAGGTTCCTGGCTAATTTTTAGAGACAGGGTCTCGTTCTTGCTCAGGCTGGTCTCAAACTCCTGAGCTCAGGCAATGCACCTGCCTCAGCCTCCCAGAGTGCTAGGATTATAGATGGAAGCCACCTCGCCCAGCCCAGCCCTAGTGAATTACTCTCGAAAGATAAAAGCAAAAGCATTAAATCAGCAATGTGCTATATACTGTCTGAAAATATTCTTGTAGAAAAATATCAGGTCATTATGGTATTTCCCTGGAATTCCAAAAGAGCTGTAGACACTATCAATAGATCTGATTAAAATACTGGGCCTATAAGTAAGACCCAGCAGTATTCAGAATTAAACAGGGTTGCTCTACTACTTGCTTGAAAGTGCATGCACACAAGCACAGGCAGAATCGAGGGTCATAAACTGCTCAGTATTTCTACTTAAAACCACAAAACAAGGATAAATAGTTAACCTTAACCTTCCAAGTTTTATATATATGAATAGGATGACAATCTTTTCTAAAAAAATAATACCCATAATTTGCCCTCTATAAATAAAGCTATCATTCTTGGCTGTAAGATAGCAGACCTTGATGTAAGCGTAGTCCCAGAATTAATCATCTTTTGTGCATACAACTCTTTAGCAAAGCTTATCAACTTCAACAGTCTACTTTGGCTCAGATTCCACTAGCTTACTGCTCAGATCAGTATCTAATGCTCTATTTAATTCCTGCTCAGTGTATGCTAATGAAAATATGTGGGAATCATTCTACACCATTGAAAGATAACTCATTTTTTAAAAAAGGTAACAATTGCTCCATACTTAAATAAAAAATGGGTTTCTATTCAAAGTATTTTTCTTTTCCTACCTGTGAAAGTCAACACAACCAGAATTAGGAAATAAATCCCAATAAAACAAGAGTTTGTTGTTACTGGGGGTAGGGAGCTGGGGGAGTAGGCGACAATGTCTATTTCTCATCTATTCGGCCCTTGCTTACCTGGGTGAACCAGTTGCCTGGAAACCAGTATGATTAAGATCTGCACATGCTGTTCTAATGGTCACGTCCTTGGTTGTCATGATGTAAAAGCTATGCTGTGGCTTTCCCCATCACCCTCCCCTCTTTAACTTTGTACTGTTCTACAATGCTTTATTCTGATATTCCTTGGGGTGCTTTCTTAGGGTACCCCCTTCTAGTTGCTGAGACTGACAGAGAGGTCTGGGACAGTTACACGTGACTCCTGAGATCTACAGCTGACTGTCACATGCTACATCTGGTGCTCTGCTCACTATAGATGGTGTCCGACAACATTCTCTGGTGGCATGGCAGCCCTCCATTTCTCAAGCAAGTCGCTCCTCTCTTCAGGCCACCAAGCCCAGTCTTGTAATCTTAGCTGACAGGAAAGAATGAATGATGAAAACAATTGGCTTGGGGCAGGAATGAAGGTCCAGTTGCTGAAATTGAAAAAGAAAAAAGTACATGAGAGATTTTAAATGAATGCTTAATGCAGAACAGTGATTTACACATCAAATGAATCTATATGCACTTCCCACTTTTAAGTGTTAACTGGAGCAATTATGTTTTAAAATCATTGCCCCTCAATGAGATAAAAGAATAACTCTTTGAACTTATTCCTTACATCTCATATATCTTTTTTCAAACTAGGTTCTATGAAATTTAGATATGCCAATACCATAAATATTGATGTTGCCTTTCTTGACTGACTAAACCATTTATTTTTGGTACCACAAGAGTGATATTTATGTACATTGGATTTGGTACAACATGAAGCAGTACTAAATTTCACATCTGAAGATTAGGTTTGAGTCCCAGATCTGACACTTTTTGGATGAAAGATCTTGGACAGGTGACTTAAAATTTTTCCTAGTCCTACCAACTCACAGACTAGAGAATTAAACAAGATGCTGCATGTGAAAATTCCTTATACGCTGTTGAGCACAGAACCCGTGCGGAGCGGCTGTGTTCTCACTGACCTCTACTCTTGAATTGTTGTAAGTATGTATGTCACCTCTCTGGGAAGGCACCTTCTAAAGTCTGATCTCTATGCGTTCCTACAGAACTCAGAATATAGGGCAGGACAGGCCTTAAAAAAATTGAATCCCCTGACCTAATGGAAGAAAACTGGGAGCACTGTACTCAATTCTCTTCTGCTGTCCCCAGTTTTGTTCTGATGATGACTTTGCTGGGAAATAAGAACAACCTGAGCACTTAATAGCTCCCCAAGTTAAGGTTGTCCTTGTTATAAACCAGGTACTGTGCTAAATATTTCCCTCACACTATCTTATTTAGCTTTCTCTCACAAAATCCTTATGAGGTAGCTATTGTTATTATCTCCACATTTGCTATGGGGAAACTGGGATTTGGAGAAATTAATAATAAAACTTTCTGAAATTGTAGATCTTTCACTAAATAGAAAGTATGAGTTCTGACACCAGTCTATCTGATGCCAGAGCCAGCTCTTCCCCATAATATTTTATGTCACTGGCACAGAATGCGACTTTTGGAGGGAACAGCAAAGATGACCTACTTCAATCTCTAAATTTACTTTATGTCTGGGGAGACTCAGATCAAGAGAAATAAAAGGACTTTCCCGAGATGGTGAGGTAGCTGCAGACTTGGAAGGAGAACCCAGGACTAGTCTCTCAGTGTACTGCATTTCCTATGACTCATCTCTGCTCCCTTCCCCACACAGAAAAGGCCTTTGCTTAACCAAACTCCCGGGAGCTGTGTCTGTATGTGAGCTTGTCAACCAAATGTATTGACAGTAAAATACTCAGTTCATCCTAAACCTTCTAAGTCAGGCCATAATTACAGGCAGAAAGGCTGAAATTTAGACCTAAGTGATTTTCCTCACAGGCAAAAATAGCCTTGAATTTTTAAGCCAAAGATAAAATAAGCGGGAAACTGATTCTTGTTCTTTTCCACTTTGCTAGAGAGTAGTCACCTTTAGGAAATAGTACACAGTCGGGTGATTGATGGGGCTGCAACTGAACCTAGAAGTATTCTTAGTAAAATGGACTTTCACATCAGTGCTTTCTTTCCAAACAGGTGCTTCAGGCTGAATTTATTGAGAGAAACATAAAAACAAACAAAAATTCTATTACATTCTATAGATCCATTTTAATAGTTAGAAAAACGGCTGGCTGAAAATAGTTCTCAGAAGATGAATCCATATCAAGTGTCAGCCTCGGGGATGGTCTTCATCACGACTGTCTGCAGCATTCATTGTAAGAAATCTGCTACCACCTAGGGCAGGAAGCATGGAACCTCTACAGCAGTGGGACCGTAGTTTTGAAATAAAAGACCCTTACAGTCTGTTAAGTGTTCTCTGGGCCTTTTTTTTTTTTTTTTTTTTGGCAGTTTTTGGCCAGGGCTGGGTTTGAACCCGCCACCTCTGGCATATGGGGCTGGTACCCTACTCTTTTGAGCCACAGGTGTCACCCTCTGGGCCTTTTCCTACCTGAAAGTCAACAAATAATTGTTGGCTAATGCCATGGCTAGGAAGGACCTAAACAGAGATGAGTTATTATAAAATCAAGGTCCTCTGTGAAGCTCTGTACTTGACAGCGTAAATGAGATCCTATGTCTTCCTGAGAAGCGCCGAGAATGGCACTTGCTGGAGAGCCTAAGAACATGCAGTTCTCGCCCTCCTGTGGCAGTGAAGTCATACAGTTCTTCATATGGCAGGAGGCACCGATCACAGGAAACCAGGAATTTAAACACAGGACTGTCTGCACTGAGATGAGAAATAGAACTGTTATCTTAACTTACACACTTGCTAATTTTGTTGGTTATTGTTAGATATTAGCCCTGCACTGCTGCGCCCTTGCCTGGCCCCTTCTCCACGCAAGTGAACGTAACGAGGTGATTTCGTTTCCCTGCTGCCCCGTCTACTCTGTCCCTCATCTGAGCTCTCCTACCCCTTTCTCTCCGTCCTCTCTGCTGCTCAGGGCCCTCCCTGATGATGGGACTGCGTATTTTACTTCATGTATCACTAACACTTAGCACAAGGTTCACGTTATATCGATACTTGATAACTTTCTAAAAATGTATGGTACATTTTTTAAGCTGGTAAGCCTCTATTTGATAAGAACTTAATGCTCACTTTGTAAAGGACTCTTTCCTCTGATTTAAATATTTATGCAGTCTTCTAATGGAAAATGAAACTAAAGGAGAGAACTTTGAAGTACTTGACTCCAATCACGCTTTTCAAGAATCAAACAAATGTGAGGCAGCCTTGTGCTGTGTCTTGAAATACAGTAGAAGCTCATAGCTGGCCACCTCCCTGCAGCCCACCTCCTTATGTGCACCTGATTTTCACAGACCAGACACGCACCACATGTACTCAATGGAAGCTCCTTATGTCGACCACCTCTGTATGTTGACCAGTTTGTTACAGTCTCTTGGGTGGTCAATTTCCAGAGTTTCTACTGTATATGAAATCGTGATGTCTAAAGTATGCTTACAATCTCTCCATCTTTGCCTCCAAAATCTAAATACAGCATCCTGATTCCATCATCTGAAGACATTTTGAGCTTTTCATAAGGAGACTGTAGGATTGTCTTGGGAAAGGCACCCTCCTGTGGTTCAGTGGTGATAGAAAATCCATTCTCGTAATGGATGGTCAAACGGCACTCCTGGTTTTTGTAGGTGCAAGCTGAGAGAGAGGAGAGAGAGAGATGAGTAAGACCCCTGGAAAGCAATCCATTTCCCCAGTTACTTCATACTTCCATTCTCATCAGGCCTTAGGATGAACCACAAATTTCTTATGATAAAGTAAAAAAAAAAAGTTCATGAAATGTTCACCCTGGATTGATTTTGATATTGTTATTTAACCATACCCCATGTAACTAAGGGAAATAAACTGAAAGAAATTCCTTTGGCTGTGATGTGCTGAAGGTTTGCTGGGTTCTAGCCCTTATCTGACCACCTGATGCCTAGGCCTGCAGGAGCACTTGCCTGGCGGCAGCCAGATGGCCCAGGCCTGAAGCCAGAGAAAAAGAGACATTCGCGTCACATAAATAAAGCCTCCTCCGATCACTATCACTCTCTCACACACTGTCATGACTACCATTACACTACCAGAGTTAACAAATGTAGCATACTTCAAAAGCCAGGAGTGAGTAATTTAAAAATAATATAAGTTTTAACTTAAAAAAAGGTCTAACAAAGCTCTTTGGAGAAACCGAAAGGGGTGCTAGTTTAGTTTCCTGATGATTTGGGGTCCTGGAAAAGCAGCTATTGCAGATGGATCTAAGGTCTGTGGCACCTTCCACAAAGAATAACATCTTCTCCCCTGGCCTGGTGTGGCGTCCAGGAGTGTGGCATCCACAGGGTGCCTTCTGATTCAGAGGAAAGAGACAAAAACCCCTTGAGCAGGTCAGGTGCCAGCTTCTATCTGTGGATGTCATTGTGTTTAGGAAAAGACCGGTGCTTCAAGCTGACGAGTTGGGCTGGGGGACCTCCACCACCAGGCTCCCTGCCCCTCTTTAGGAAGACTTGTGAAAGTTAAAAACCCTTGACCAAGGCATTCTGAGAAAACGATGTTAAGTAGCAGACTAGATTTTTTGCCTCATGAAACACTACAAGTAAGTCAGCTCAGGTTTTGATCTACATTGAAAAGATCTTTAGGGAAACCAGGACATCGTCTTTGCTGGGAGTAGGGGTTAGGATAAGTAAGAGAGAGAGGGCATTACTGATTGACAGCTGGCGCTGTACCATCACTGGCTCTGCTCAGCTTTATAAGCCCCAAACTTCTGAAGCAAGAACCTTGGCCCAATATTTGAGGGGGGAAAAAAAAAAAAAAGCAAAGCTCAGAAAGGTGAACATGGCACTACCCAGGTGGTTTCAGCTTGGCACGGAATCTCTCAGATTTTCTCCCTTCTGAACGGTGACAGCAGGGTGGGGGAAGCCTCCTCCAGCATTTGGAGCAAGAAGTAAGGATCTCTACTGCTCACTGGATGAGGTGGCTTTTCATGGAAGCTCTGATTCAAACATATACTCTTTCCCCCGACTCATAACAGACACATTTCAACTTGTAACTAGGGCTGATCTTTTCCAAAGGCATGTTCTTTAATTGTTGTGTGAGTCTTTCTGGGTGGAGCTGCTGGGCCCTGCCCTGTGCCCCTTTCTATGTTCAAGGATGACCAAGGACGGTGGCATAGAGGTAGATGGCTGCCTGTCCTAACTCCTCCTCTTTGATAATCTTCCCTTCTACCCCCTGCAGAAAATGTGGGCCCTAACCATGTTTTTTTCCTCCCTTCCTCTGTGTTTCAACTTAAAACTAAGCCATCAGATATTCTAAATTAACTGATTTTGATTACTTTTCATTCCAGTTGACCTCAAATGGTATTTGTGGTCTATATATAATGGAACCAGAATCTGAAGATGTTCTCAATCTATACAGGATAAATTAAACACATTATCAAGTTAATTGAAGCTCTGATTAAAACATAATCCCCTTTTCCCAGTTCTCTGCAGGCATTCCTCAACTTGTAACGGGTCACACCTTTGGTCATTTTCATAATTCTTATTCACCACCACCCAGCCAGCTCAATTCACAGAATTCTTTGCTATTTTTCTTTGGCTAGTTTACCAAAAGGCTTGTCGTCTTCCTGTCCGAGTTAAGATTATTGAGAGGAAAGGATTTTTACAAAATTCACAGAATGTAAACTAAGCCAGAACCTCTAGGCATTATTACTAGAACACTCCCAAAATTGTTGCATGGAGTCTCAACTTCTCTGGTATCACACGGATAACTTTATGAAATTTGGCGTGCAGGTGACTTGGGCCTTTTTCAGCTCCCAAGTTCAAAACTCCAGTCTTTCTTGCCATCCAGAATACGCATCAAAAATAAAAACTTCAAGGACTCCCCTCAAATGATTATAACAATAATGGAAAAAAAAGTTAGGGGGCAGTAACTCATTTCAACATGATTACCTAAAGGCACTGATTATCTTGGATATGCCATGATAGAAATTTTACAAAACATCTGATTTCTTATATTTGCATGAGTAGAGGAAATTTGGAGAAACTCTTCTACACATTAACATATGTCACATCTTTGAGAATACTCCTGGGCACCTGAGAAAGTTGTGCCATAGTATTGTACTAGGGTGCAAAGGTTGGCCCATGGGCCAGCGCCTCAGGACCGCCTGCAAACTTGTCAGACGCAAACTCTCAGTCCCCACACTAGAACTGCTGAGTCTGAGTGTTTGCTGGTAAAGGTACAGATTTGCCATTAGAGGCTTTGAAGGTTAAAAAAATATATCATTTTTAGTGCAGCTAAAATTTGGAAGCACTGTTCTTAAGATGTTTAGTGGGACACCCTATTCTTCTGGAGACCTTGTACCTAATAGACACATGCATCTATTCAACACTTGAAATGTGATTAGAGGGACTTATTAAATTTATTATTATTATTATTATTAGCACTTTTTGGCCAGGGCTGGGTTTCAACCTGCCACCTTCGGCATATAGGGCCAGTGCCTTACTCCTTTGAGCCACAGGCACTGCCTGGAACTTATTAAATTTTAATGAATTTAAATAGGCACATATGATCAGAAGCAAGCCAATCGGACAACACAGGTCTAGAGAAAATAAATACAAGAATAACAATTAATCTTAGTGCTTGTTGACAACAACCCTAAGGGCAACCAGCGTTCCTATTACAACTGTGAGAGACCTACTGCGACCTTCTCCTTTTTATAGATGAGGAAACTCAGAGATTAAATAAGTGATTCTAGAAAAAATAGAACTAGAATTTGAATCCAAGCCATCTGACTCTGAAGTCCCCACTCGTGACTATAACCTTGTACTACGTCCCCAGAGACAGAGAGAAGTGAGAGACCAGGCAAGAAACAGGACAGAACAAAGTGGACAGTGAATATCATAAGTACAAAGTTAGATCTACTGGAAAGCTCTTGCTGATGGCACTAGCTACTATGCCACATGATGCCCTCTCAAGGAGTGTCCATGGAGACCTGGGGGACGCTGATCTTAGATCTTGGAACCAAAAATAATTTGTCTTAGATCTCAAGATTAGGAACAATAGCATTATAGACACTCTTAACCGTGTATTGACTGATGAAAAACAGTAGGTTAAATATGGAATCCACCTTAGCAAAATACACAAGATTTTTTGGCATGCATTTGGTTATTAACACTACCTTAGAGTCTATATTACTTTTCCAGTCTTTTACCTTGGCCCAGTTAAAACATGAAAATTATCTCTACCTCTTGATACATATCCATATGTCTATGCATTGAGATCTTTGTATCTATTTTGGAGAGTGGCAAGAAAATTATTTATCACAGCAACCTGAACAGAATTTCTGCTGGCTGGATCACTGGGATAACAGTAGGGAGCTACATGTGTCTATAGATAGAAACTCTAGCAAACAAAGAACGGACTTCAGAGCAACACAACCAAGAGTTAAAGTAAGGTCTGTCATTTTTCGGTGTACTCTGGGACAACTTAACCTTTTTTAAAAATTTGCCTCCTGATTTTTCAGGCTGACCAGGGTATCATAAAGATTGGATGAGATAGGCAGCATCTTGTGACCTGGACACGTGCACACGTGCATACACACACCCTTGAATCAACAATTCTACAAAACGATATTTACACTGATTTCTCTATTGGTCTTGCCTCAATTAATTGATTTCAGGACCCACAAAATGGTTGTTTTTTACAGTATGAATAATACCAAGAGACATTAAATAAAGCGGCTGGCACACAGCAGGTACTTGACATGAGGTGCAGGATAGAGAGGATCTTCCTTCTGCACGCACCCCCCATTGCTGCACCAGCCCGTTCCTTTCCATGAGCTCCATGCGAACACCGCCTGAGATCTAAGACAAATTATTTCTGGTTCTAAGATCTAAGACCAGCCTCTCCCAGGTCTCCCATGGACACTCCTTGAGAGACCATTCTCCTTCCACCCTGCCTCTGCCCCTCCACTCTCACCAGCTCCAGTCACTCTTACAGGGCTGTCTCCTTTCCCCACCTAGATACCTTTGCTTCCTGCACTTTTTCACAGCTTGGGTCTCCGGTCTTCTGATCAATCCTGTAAGCTGTTTAATATACTTCTAATAACGTTATTTTGTGATAAATTACTCAGAATCATTTTCTATTTGTCTGTAATCAAGAACTCTACTAGCTGAAGCCTCAAAATTAATTTCTCCAAGAAGTCACCAGGGATTAAAAGTAGGAAAACAATAATTAAATATCCAATTTACCAACTTTTCCTGAAGGAAGATTAGTTAAGGCTTTTCATAATCAAAACCTTAGCTTCCATGTTAGTAGGGCACACACTACCTTACTTTAGAAGAATTTAAATTTACCTCTGGAATTTTAAGTACCCCAAGAAGCTACTAAAAGAGCTATTCTGAGGCCAGGCTACAGTAGAGGTTGTCCCCCTTCCCATCATACTGTTGTCTTTGGTGGCCCCTGGCCAGCAGTACTCACCAGCAGTGATTTCAGTAATGAGTTCAGCAGCATTGTGGCAACCTTGAACTACGCTCCTTGTCCAGTGGGAGAGCTCCCTACTGGTCTCTGCCCTGAAGAGATGTGTTTCAATCCCTTGCCTGGTACCAGTTCGTGTTGCAAAGGACAGATCCACACCAGCCTGAGGTGATCCCTTCCCTGGACCTGAATGCACCAGCCTAAACAGAGAGAGAGAGAAAGAGGGAGAGCTCTTCAAAATGTAGACTTGTTCATCTCCCTGGTGTATCACCTTGTAAAGGCCCCAAACTAGTGATCTGTTTTCATTTTTTTCTGATCTGGAATCAAAGAGGTCCACTATACTCATCTCTTTGTCAGAGTTTTCTTCCATCTCTTCACCAACAATAGTGTGAGGTTAAGATAGCGCCCAAGAGCTGTGGATCCGGATGATTATGCAGTGGACCTGAGCAATATGATTTTAACTTGTGCAAGTTCAACTATACTCACTCAGCTAAAAAGAAAAGGAAATGTGAGAAAGAAAATAATTTGAACACTGTACAATTCCATTCTTCTATTCCCAGCAAATTTACAAGTGTTCCCAGCCTGAGCAGGAGACGGGCATGTGAATCTGCTGTTTCCTGGGTTACACTCCACGGCCTGTGTTGTTTCTGGCTGTCGGGAGCGTCCAGCTGCACTGAACATACTTCTTGGTTTGCATTTTTTCAAACCTAGCACCCCCACACACCAGCAAACAACTTGGAACCCAAGTGAAGAAACAGCAGCAGGTGTTTCTGATAAAGCTCAAGAAAGAACTGGCCATGCAAGACTTTGGGAACATGGTAGAGATTTGTGCTTCAGGAGAGATTTAAGAGCTTTCCAAGAGATGTATTTACCACATAACATTTTCACACTGATTTTAGCATAAAATGTGACTTCCCCAGTCAATATTTTCTGAACAGCCAGACTTAAAAGGTGAAAAATCGTTGTCTGAGCACCACTTACTGAATGGGTGCTGGGTCCTTCTCACTCTTTGACTTTAAACACTTGTATGTCTCACTCTCTGTCCTATTCTTCCATATCTCAACCTCCTTTTGGGAGAGACTCTCATGCAATCATTTGCGGTATAGCCTAAGTGTAGTCAAGTAAATCTTACTTCTCCCAGGGATTTTCCTTTTCAGCCCAATCTTTTCATACAGGAAGCAATACTTCAGCATTTGCTAGAGAAATGGCAGGTGTCTGACCACACGGTGGATGGAAGAGTTATTGTCTTAGGTAAAGGGGCTTGTTACCTCTAGGTTAAAAATTGCACAAAAGGCTAAGAATGGTGGCTCACACTTATAATCCTAGCACTCTGAGGGGCTGAGACAGGAGAATAGCTGGAGCTCAGGAGTTTGAGACCAGCCTGAGCAACAGGGAAGACCCTGTTTCTACCAAAATTGGAAAGTTAGCTAGGTGTGGTGGCACACCCCTGGAGTGGCAGCTACTCAGTAGGCTGAGGCAAAGGATAGCTTGAACCCAGAAGTTTGAGGTTGCTGTGAGCTAGGCTGAGGCCATGGCACCGTAGCTGGGCAATAGAGTGAGACTTTTTCTCAAAAAAAGAAAAAAAAATGCACAAAAGAAATCCAAAAGCTTACTTTTTCTTGCAAACCTAAATAGAACAAATGATCAGTGGACTAAAGCATATTATAGCCTGGTGAATTTCTAGCAACAAGTTTGTATAATTCCAAGGAGTTTTCTTTTAAGTTGGAATTAGGAGAGAGGGGTGGTCTGTAATGCCAACTTAAAGGACAAGGCTAGTTGAAAAACCTTTGGCTGAGAGACTCATTAAAGATATGGAAGTTCTGTTCCGTATTATATCCCAGGGTTGCTGGCACAGGGGCCCAAACACAGGAATTTAACACATAGAGACGGAGTCCAACTCAATTGGAGGGAAAAGAACACTTTGTAATGAGGGGTGAGCAAGAGGGACATGAAAATGGCTAGAAGATTCTAAATCAGGTGAGGATTAAAAACAACAACAACAACTTATACTGGTTTCAAAGGGATTAAGGGTCAGGCAAAAATTCATTAAGAAAAGGTATCACTAGGAAACAAGAATGTGTATCATGTTTTCTTAGTTGCTCTAAAGTGTTTTTATACATAAAGGTGTTTTAAGTTTTAGTCATTTTAAGAAGTATATCCAGCTCTTCCCTTTGAAAATCTTAAAATCTGTATCAGTTGGGCACAGCTGGCAGGCTGCATGTTAAACTGAAAAGGTTGGGGAGCATCAGAAAGCTGCATTAGAACCCCATTCTGTCTGCCTTTTGTTGAAGTTTTTAAGAATCACAGCATTATGAAGATTAAATGAAGTAACCTATACCCAGCCCAGAAACTGCATATGGTGCATACTCAGTGAGTATTATTTCCATTTCTTACCCCTGCACTGTTTTCTTATTTTAAAAATATAATTTCTACCCTGAAAGATTAGGATTAAAGATAATAAAATATACAGAGCACTTAGTTCAGTATTTAGTACATCATAGTCAGCATTCAATAACAACTGGTCTAACTTGTCTCACTTTCCATTCTCTAATCATCTATCCAGGGGACATCGACTGTCACAATCCAAGGCCAGCATAAATATACTGCAGTGACAGAAGCCAAGACACAAAGGATGCATCACTCTCATGGAGAATGTCATCCTTTGGTGAATTCTCTGCTCAGATTTATTTTTCTCCAGACAGATTTGAAGCCAATAATAACTGGGAAAGTATAGTTCACTAGAAAATCCCATTTGCTAACTTAAGATATGAGGAATGACATTAGTAATAGATCACATGAGAAAGCCCAGGCTGACCGATGCCCCACATGGGAGTCTTTGCTGGGGAAGGCCAGGTGTCACTGGAAGTAACAAGGAAGAAAGCCGTTGGAGGGGGAGGGTTGGGTTCTTGGTCATTTGTCTCATCCTGAGATTCTAATGTAAATTAGAGATTGAGAATGTAAATTATCTAAGATTTATGTTAAAAACAAGTTAACTTGTCATCCAAGAAATAGTGGACATGTTGATTTACATGTTCGTTTGAATATACTGATGTTGGTGTACTATATGTAAACTCTGAGATAAAGTGAATTGTCTTTATACTACCTAGTATGTGTGCTGGTGACAAAAGGATACTTTTTACAGATTAAAATCAACTGAAATACATCAGCTGTCTGCCCTATGTGTATAAATACATATACTCTGGATAGAGTCTTACAGAGCTTGAAATTATTTTATTACTATAAGTACTATGTGTAAATGTAGGAACAGGTATACATATCTGTGGAAAAGTTCTGGAAATGTAACTGAACTATGCAAAAGAAAAGCTTGAAAAGAAGCCCATTAAAATGCAGAGCAATTTTATGGGTGATTTCATTTCACTTTTTTAGTCTTAAAATTTCCTCTGAGAAACATATAAGGTAGGCTCTTAAATAATGTCCTTTCATTCTAACGGATGATGAGAAAAAAAGCAATTCCTGGTCAGGGGCACTGTCAGTGTGGGCTTTGCATGTACTCCCAATGTCTGCGTGGGTTTTTCCATACTCTGGTTTCCTTCCACATCCCAAAGCTGTGCCCATGAGGTGAACCGACACGTCTGTGTGGTCCCAGTCTGAGTGGGGTGTGTGTCTGAGTCGCCCGAGATAGGATGGTAGTCCATCTAGGCCTAGTGCTTGCCTTGCCCTCTGAGTTTCCACTCTGAACTGCAATAAATGGGTTGGAAAATGAATAATGAAGACAAATGATTGTCAGAGAAAACTTGGTGCTGTCTATAATAATCATAGAGACGCACAATAAACAATGCAGGACAGAGAGCCTGCCTCGTTTCTCCTTGTTTGTTTTTAAATGGCGAACATGGTGCTCAGGTCCTCCTGGCATGTTCCACTTTGCAAATATTTATTCCATGATGTAACGCAGCACCACGATGACCACTCTTACTGATTCACCAAAAATTGAATAAATAATAGCGTTTTGATCATCTTTCTTAAATGCATGCATAGCTCACATTTATTTCAATGTTTAATATTAGAAGTCTTTGGGGTCTTTATTTAGAAGTTGGGTGATGTTTTTGTGACCAGAAAAATGCCATAGGAACTTAATTCTTATTTTTGTCAATTACTCTGTGATAAAAGTGGTTTCCGTACATGTCACTTTGCTTAAAGTTGCAGTTTCCACGAACTTGTCATCCGCATTAAGTGAGAGGACTTCCTGTACTACACAATTTAAAGTTTAGCTTAAAAAGGCTAGGAGACTGAAATAAACCCAAATCCTTCACATTTTAGAATCAAGACTTTCAGGGTACTGAAAAATAGATAGAGATTGTGTGTCGTATGTGTTTGGTTTGTTGTTTGTTTAATGGTAGTGGTGAATCAGTGCTGGAATTCTCAGGATGTTCTTCTCTGCCTTCCTGCATTTGTTTGTGTCTGTCTAGGTTACTCTGAATTGACCATGTCTGGCTCTTAACACCTCACAGCGGCGGTGGCTACAGAAGAGTCCTTCTCAGCATGAAGTTAACTGATCCACATGGGATGAAGCATACACCTGTGTCCTCATTAATCCCTTACACTAACAAACTGGCCTCCGGCAACTGAGACAAGAGAAACGCTGAGATCTGTGCGTTGAAGATCCTTTTGGATTCAGGGGTGTTTTAAGGAGCCACAGGGGTGTTACCTGCTCTGTTCAAGTTCCTTCTCCCTTTCTTTCCACTGAATACCAAAAGTCACTCACTAAGTCATTCATTAATTGAATCAATATTTTGCCATTCACTAACTGATATATCCAGCAAATATTTATGGAGCACTGTAATGAACTGAATTGCATCCCCATAAAATTCGCATGTTGAGGCCCAATGACTGCATTTGGAAATAGGACTCACAAGGGGTAAAAAAGGTCAAGTGAGGACCTAAGGGTGGGACCCTAACCCAATATGCTTTATCCTTATGAAAAGAGGAAAAGACAACAAAGATCTCCCTCCCTCTGTGTACCCACAGAGGAAAAGCCATGTGAGGACACCCCAAGAAGGCAGCCATCTGAAAGCCAGGAAGAGAGCCCTCGCCAGAAACCAGCCACGATGGCATCTCAACCTTGGACTTCCAGCCTCCAGAACTGTGAGAGCTAAATTTCTGTTGTTCAAATCACCAAGTCTGTGATACTTTGTTATGGGACCCCTAGCAGAATACCAAAAACACCTACTATGTGCAAAGT